ACTGCAAGCCTTTAGCCCTGAAAGGGTAATTTCTACCAATAAACTATTTTTAAAGAGACCACTACCACTACATCAAATATATTCTGCTACCTTCAGCTACATTAAAAAAGTTAAAAAAAGGTTAATATATATATATATAAAGTAAAATTATAATTTCAAATTAAATTTTATATTAAAAATAATAGAAAAAACAAGAACATGTCAATGTTGTTGTTTGTTGTTGTTTATGATATAATTAATATTTAAATAAATATAAAAAGATATATACAATTTTAATAATCTAGTGATTGATAAAACATTAAGAATTTTTTGTAATCACTAAATTATTGATTAAACCTCTTATAGAAAAGGAATGCCTTTTCTATATAAATTAGCATAGAGTATTGATGAATAATTATTATATTCATCTAGAGAGTTAAACATAAATCTGATGATTACAAAAAATTCTTAATTTTTTTATCATCTATAATATTTATATAGTTATTATAAATAATTTAAAACAAATTGTTTTCTTTTTCTGTTCCTCCTCCTCCTCCTCAAAATAAATAACAATAACAATAATAACAACAAACTTTTAATAGGCTTTTTATGTTCTTATTTATATATATTAAAAAACAAATAAAATTGTTGATTGTTATATTTTTTTTCTTTCTGAAAAACATAATTTGTGTTACAAATAATTGTTTTTTAATATATATAAATAAGAACATAAAAAGCCTGTTAAGGGTTTGTTGTTATTATTGTTATTGTTATTTATTTTGAGGAGGAGGAGGAGGAATAGAAAAAGAAAACAATTTGTTTTAAATTATTTATATTAACTATATAAATATTATAGATAATAAAAAAATTAAGAATTTTTTGTAATTATTAGATTTATGTTTAACTCTTGATGACAAATGTAACAACAACTTTTGAGAAGTATGATGGCTGCTATGATATAATATGATGAAAAACGAATGGCTATTGGAAAGAAAAATAAAGAAAAAGGAACCAGAAAACAAAAAGACTTGACCGCTCATGTCCATATTCCTGTCTTCGTGGCTCTGATGTTGCAGGGCATCCCTATCGGGCTGTTCGTTCTCTACCTCCTGAATAATGACTCACGAAGTTGCCTACTAACCGGTTTGAAATCTGGTGACCTTGTGCTTAAACTGAGAATGGCTCTATCCAAATTTGGACATGTATAGCACTTAGGCCTGTACCGCTCCGTGGAAGGCGGATGGTTCCAAGGCAAAGGCTTTGCTGTATTCATGTTGCCCAACAAGGATAACCATTAAGAACGATACGAAACTCTAACGCATTGTATTGATTTCGGCGTCCTTCACTATCATAATCGCGTTTTCTATAGTACCTAGCAATCGATGGGTGATTATTGCAGATATTGCTACGCTCAGGATTGCATTATCAAAGATTGTCCCGGTCCTGCTCACAAAGGACATATCTCCATTGCATGTCTGCAACCACGAAACAGCTACCCCCACAAAGCACCCAAGACGAACCATCCAACTAAACCATCATTTTCAAGAAGAAGGAAGTTCAAGGTGGCTCAAACCACTCCGTTCCCAAGGCAACACGAAAAGACCAGAAGGACCGAATTGCTAATGAGGGTGAACAAGTTGCAAGGTGTTGTTTACGCTGAACACCTTTACTACTATAAAATCTCCGTCATGTCATTATCGAGCAGTTTATCGTAGAGAACAGCCGTCAGAATACTACTTTGAACTCTCCGCTATGGCGAGCCTTTTAGAACTTTGATCTATCGACAACAGTCAGAAATGTATAGTTTCACACGTTGCATGGAAAATCATCTTGCCGCTTAACACTGGCTACTATACTTCCTCACAAATTCGACAACAGTACCTGCTTAACAAGAAAGAGAACATTGACGATGCCCACCACTTCCTGTATCAATGCTTCAGGAAATGGACAATCTCGGTGTCAGTTCTCTCAGTTGTACTGCTGATCAATGTATCATCCGATATATTACAGAATGGCATCTACTATCTATAGCTCCCTCCGAAACCGCCATATTCATGGTCACACTATCATCGCCTTTATACTTGAAAATATATGAAAGGCTCATTGGAAATTACGTTTAAAGTGTGACCTTCGTTCCTCTAAACATCATTTCTTCTCTGCATTCACAACTAAATAGCTTCTATGCATAATCATGTATCCCCTTTTATTTTTAAATGCTCAAGCATTTATCACCACAAAATACTTATTCTGCCCCAAATTTAACTTTGAAAGTCAGTTGCGAGAGAGTGTAAAGACAGTTGAAAAAAACCGTTAAAGTGTACTTGTCATCTTGTTTCATAAGAGAATTGTATATTTCAACCATATGAAAGGTAAGTAAAGAGAGAACGGGAGAGGCAAGATCTTACTACTACAATAAGAAAAACAAAAATGGAGGTGAAAAAGGAAGTTGTAAAGAAGTAATAATAACAAACCAAGTTTATTTCTTATATGAAAAGTGGTTTGTTTTTTACCTCCATTTTTGTTTCTCCTCTTGTAGTGGTAAGATCTTGCCCCTCCCATTCTCTCTTTGCTTACCTTTCATATGGTTGAAATATACAATTCTCTTATGAAACAAGATGACAAGTACACTTAAATGTTTTTTCTCAACTGTCTTTACACTCTCTCCCAACTGACTTTCAAAGTTAAATTTGGGGCAGAATAAGTACTTTGTTTATCACCACGGCAAAAAATCTGCGCAATTCAGCGCGAACTCTATATACCGATGCAGCGAACATTGACTGCTATGCTGGCCTTTTGAATTCGTCAATTCAAGAAAATAGGCGCTATATTATTTCTATGAAATGATTGTTGATGACTTAAGTTGCAAAATTGTCTTCTGTATGATCCCCGTTCTCATTTCAAATAAACATCTATTCCGCCCTGAACATATTTGGAAAGTGTGTCGTTACACATGCGCTGATTGCGCCGATTTTTTACCGTGGTGAGTAGCAGTGTAAGAACGCGAAGACCCCATAACATAAGCTATTGATGGCTTCATACTATCCAACTTGGTTGATTTTTTATTTTGGTTCAGCATTACCTGCGTCATCGGCTACTTCATGGATCGCTTACTTCTTGGATACACCCGAAGCGATCCATGAATTCATCTTCTTGCTGCTCAACGTCAGCATGTCTTAAAGCCCTGGAGCGGTGCAGTAGAGGATGTTGGATACCCCGACGTTTCAAATATTCAGTGCAGCACCTTAGTTCCTGTCAACAGCCTGTATAGATAATGATTGATTTTAGTAAGCTACATCTGGCTGGCTGTTACGTCGATGTTGTTGCATTGCTTTAAGGCTCAGATACGACCATCGTAAAAGCGTTTTTTGTTGGTATGATATGTAGACAGTGCAAGCAGTAGTAAGATACAGACATAAAAAAAATGTTAATATGCCCTTTTGTCGAGCGTCTTGGCAACCAGATGCAGGTGTCAAAAAATTGCTATTTACGCCCACACATCAATGCTGATTTCTGGCGCGGAGTCCTTGAGCCGCCGTTGTTCTGCGCCTTTTTTTCCTATAGCAGAAGAAAGACCCATATTCTATACTGTCAAGTTATGTTTGGGACTAAATCGTTCATGTGGTAAGGTTATGGCTCAAAAGGCCAGACTGTTATCTGTTTCTGAAATGTGAGTGAAAGCTCTTTTATAACTTTTGCTATTTGAATGGTAGTGTGAAAAAGTCGGTCTGAGTCTACATATTATAGAAAGATGGGTATCATATATAATGACAATGGATGTGTGAGCAGGGCGCGGTAAGCTTGTCTTGATCGGTTTTTCCTTTTGTTTATATCCTTTTTGACCGGTTAGCATATTGTGCTGATCAGTACTTTGGGTTGTTTGACTTGGTTACCTACTCAATTACTCATCCAGACGGCGCGATACATAATCATGCGCTTTATACATAGCTTTGTAAATGTACAGTGGTTATTCTTCTTTTATGTAGAAATCTATACACTGTGTTTTGTTAATTTTTAAATTTCCTCTTTCTCATATTTTCTGCTTTTCGGCGGAAGATGCAGACTATTTACAACAAAAAGACAACATGAATAAGTCATGCGACATAGCAGCTCATGGTTACCATCACCAAAATCACCGAATAGTGCATAATCGGGTGCGAAGAGGAGATACTAATTTATAATTAAAGGCACTGCATCAAGGTGCCTTACTATGCAGCAGTCGATCCTTCGGCATCATTTCCTAGATTTCATTGGCTCTATTGACTGCTAGGACATTGAATAGGATCTGCCGCTGCATGAATCATTGTAGATTCGCCGAGACGCGGGCAGGGCTGTAGTGGTTCGGAATTCAACTCCCTATGTGTAGTGCGTATCAGATATCAGGTATTGCTTAAGTAGAAACCAGAAAAGTCGGGAGCACTGAATCAATGCCTGTCATAAATAGTTGCTGTGGGAAGCTGATGATTGTTCCCGGATGCCATGAAGCTTTTTGGTAGGTTATCGTTGCTATCGATCGATGCTGCTGGCAACGCATTCCCGTCAATTGTTTTCATGATGAATTCACAAAGAGCACTACAGTATTAACGCTGGTTAAACTGGGACTACATAAGGTGTTAATGACGCTATCTATTACTACTCGCTACATTGCAGAAGATGTATAATTACATATTGTCCAATAATGCTACATTATCAATGATGCGGTAGAGCTGTTGGTCAGTCCAAGATCTAAAAACATGATTTTTCTGATAATCAGCTGTAAAATCATCTCCAATGCAATCAGATACATTATATCTTCCACAGGGAAAGGGATGGAAAACCCATCGATGCATATAGAACGGTTATCTGCGTTGGTGACGCAATTTTGAGGCCTATGCCGTACCAGCGAGAGCGCGTAGCGGAGCCAAGAAAGCACGCCAAGCATGTAAGCTTCCCAGCGTCTTTCTTTCCTCTCTCACTCTTATTTTTTTCCACTCAACTTATATACAAACACACATATTCTGTCAACCCCGGTTTAGAAATAAACAATGAATCTGTTTTTTGGTAAAGCAAAGTCGAAAACAACTGCCAAGGATGCCATAATCAAATTACGAGAAACTTTGGACATGTTGGAAAAACGAGAAGCGTTTCTCGAAGGCAAATCAAACAACGAACTTAAAATCGCCAAGCTGAATGCTACCAAGAATAGAAGATGTAAGTCTGTGCGCAAAATGCATAAGGCTGACTCTGTATAGACATGGCTTTGATTCCCTTACCCTCGGAACTTACTGTATATATGCGTGTATTATGTGTGTAGTGGCATTGCAAGCATTGAAGCGAAAAAAGGTGTTCGAAGCCAATATCGAAAAGATCAATGGAGCTCGCATGACTATTGAAACACAAATGATGGCAATTGAAAGTGCCAATGTCAACTTGGAGACTATGGGCGCTATGCGTGCTGGTGCAGAGGCTATGAAGAATATCCACGGATCAATGTATGTTGTCGGGCTGGTGTTACTACGGATTAGAAAAAAAGAGAGAGGTGGGGGGTTGCTCTTTAGATGAACGTAAAGCGTGTGCTGCATACGCCAGTTGACGGGGAGAAGAGGGATGTGTTGTAAGACTCTCCGTATTTTAGCGTGGTTCATGCATTAACGCGGTGATAAATTTCTTATTATCAGGGATGTCAACACTGTTGATTCAACCATGGACGATATCCGTGACCAGATGGACATTGCCACCGAAATCTCGGAGGCTATATCTAGACCGGTTGGCGAAGAGTTGGATGAGGTAATGAACTAGGATTGTACTGACTTTATGATAAATGTGCATAGCGAGAAACTAAAAAATTTGAGAAAAACCATTACCTAGGATGAACTGCTTAACGAGCTTGAGGAATTAGAGCAGGAAGAACTGGATGCCAAGATGCTCGATACACCAGCGCCAGCTATGGATACGCCCGATGTACCTATTCACGAACCTGGTAAGTTCCTTGACTTCAAGAACATAATGATTTCTAGGGGCGTGGTGGAAATTAGAGATTTGTAACTTACTGCAAAACTGATTTACCATAGTCGCAAGAAGAAGGAAGTCGGAAGAGGAAGAAGAGGCAGAGCTCAAGGCATTACAAGCAAGCATGGCGCCTATGTAAAAAGCAACGGCGACGATTAATTATGGGCTATTATATCTCTTTCTGTCTCTCTCCCTTCCGTATCCTTTCCATTCCCTACTTTGCACACATCCTCTTGATCTTTACGACTTTCCTATATCGCTTGTCCACACACATACTCACTTACTCACTCGCCTATTTACATATATCACACTCATCTTCCCTTCTTTGATTGTTTCATTACTCGGGGGAAATCTGGTCAGGCTTAGCTTTTCTGTATGTTTCTTTCTTGGGGTAGGATCAAAAGCTCGATCGGATTTGTACCTACTATATATCTTCTTTTCCTGTTGTTATCTTTCGTGTCAAACAATGTTCAAGCCTGCTGTTGCTGACATTCAAATCACATGAATTTATCGTTGGGACATACATATTTTTGAGTTGCAACCAGGCAACCAAAAATGACAACGTTCCTTTTGTAATATTATGCTTCATTCTTTAAAGTTGGCCAATGGCCCAAACACAGTCCAACTTACTTATGATGGTCTTGGCCTTCGTATTGAAGGAGGCGGTGTTGACGTTGAGCAAAAGTGTACGCACCACCTACCACGCCATTTACTCAAACGAAAAGCAGAATTCCACACTCACTAACATTATATTTTTTATTAAACAACAGCTAGCAAGCGTTCATTCTTGGACTTGACAATCGTGCCCATCGCCAAAGTTAATGTCTTGAACTTATGCTTCGATAATGACACACACCTACTCAAAGTTCATGCTCTTATTCCTCGGCAACATGCCGTACCAGAGTCTCCTTTGGACCTGTGCGTTTTTCGTTGCTCAGTTGACCAGAGCAAAACGACTGAGACACAGACTTTTTGCCAAGCAGTCATGGGCCATGTTTATGAAGGTAGAATATCGTATACAATATATGATATCACAGCCAAAAGCTAAGCTCTGTCATTGCTACTGTCTTTAGGTATTCCTGTTGGTCGACGTCTTAAAGTGCTTGTCAATCCTTTCAGCGGTCAGGGCCACGCGAAAAAGATATTCAAAGAAAAGGTTTCTCCTGTGTTTGAGAGTGCTCAATGCAAAGTAGACTATCAAGGTATATAAAGAAAGGAAAAGGAAAGAACAGACCTGATTGATTAGTGTGAAATTTGCTAATGTGATAAAAACGTAGAAACGGAGTATCAAGGCCATGCTGTTGAGATTGCCCGGGAATTGGATATTGATGCATATGACGCTATTGTTACTGTCAGTGGTGATGGCATCATTCATGAAGCGATTAATGGCTTTTCTCAAAGACCGGATGCACGCGCAGCATTGAAAAAGGTTCCTCTCGGTGTTATTCCTGGTGGAACTGGAAATGCTCTCAGCATTTGTATGTTGGGTGAAAAGCTGGGTTTCGATCCTATCCACACTGCCCGTCAAATCATTAAAGGTAACACTTTTGAGACGTCAAAGAAACTAGTTGAGGTGTTATGGTACTTAATCACCATACAATCATCTGTAGGAAAGAACATGTCGTTTGACCTTTGCTCTGTCACGTATGATGACCATCAATACATATCCTTCCTGTCCCACAACTATGGTATCACTTCTTACGCCGATTTGGCAACTGAGAATATGCGGTATGTAACATCCTATTTTTCGATCATTTTCCTTTACATTTGTGCAGCCTAAGGCAGGCTCACGCACTCAATAATAGTAACTCTTGTCGACTACTGCTAGATGGATGGGTGATACGCGCACGATCGTTGGCCTCCTTCAACAAATCTTCAAGGGTGAAAGCTACCAATTGGAAGCTGCTGTTCAAATAGTGGAAGCCAACAAGGACAAAATCAAAAGTAACTTTCCCTCTGCAACGCAAATTCCGGATAGTGGAGACAATGGACCGATTCAAGATACTATTCCAGCCCTTACCGAACCTGTCCCCGAAGATTGGACTGTTATCAAGGGCGATGTATCGCTCTTCCTAACCAGCAAGACACCATGGTTGGCGCGTGGTATGTTGAGTCATCCTTGTGCCGAACCAAACGACGGACTGCTGGATTTGTTCCTTGTTAGAAGCAACCACAGTCTATTTTCCAAACTGGATATGTTTGGTAAGGTCGAAACTGGACATCAAATCGATTCTGATGCCGTAAGTTGAAAATAATTACTTTGAGCAATTCCTTGTCTTGTTTATGTATAAATAACATGATCTTGCCTTTGCTGTACTAGGTCGAATATTATAAAATCAAGGCATTTCGTCTGACACCAATTGCTAAGGCTGGCAAAAAGGTTTACGTTGCGATCGATGGTGAGCACGCGCCAGCAAAGACTTTCCAAGTCCAAGTCCACCCAGGTCTTGGCTCTGTATTGAGCTTATATCCCAATTATGCCAATGCTCGTACATGGCGTCCATCGAGCGTATCGACCCGTTCGTCCCGCTCCTTCAAAGACAAACTTTCGTCAATGGGCGACAAGCTTCGCAACACCTGTGCTTACATTCTGTCACTCATCCGTAACTACTTCCGCAACTTCCGTAATCTCTTCAGACGCACATCCGTCAGATAATTGAAGTCCCTTCGTTAAATTATTTGTTCTCTGTCATAATACCACTTATCCACTTGTCCTGTTTCTTTTTTTTCATTACTATTATTTCATTCTATAAAAAAGTATCTCCGTGCAAAGTTTCTCTTTACATTGTTCCTGTTCATCATCCACTAAAGGAACGATGAAAAGCTTTGGTGTTGACATGACAGTCTAGTAGGGTTAGCTCGCTAGCAATACTTAGACAATGAGTAAACCAGCTTTCCGGAGTACCAGCGGAAATTCCTGGGCTTACATTTTGACCAATCAGAAGGCTGTATAAGAATCCTTAAAACAGCCAATGACAGCTCTGAATAAGCTTTTACGTGTAACACTCAAAATACTGCTGCATGACATTGCTGTAATTTTAACTTGATCGAGTAATGATCGCGTCGTTTCACCATCATATGCCGTAGTAGTGTCTCTAGTTGAAAGAAATGAAACGCATAATATCAACGACAATAATTGCAGAGGTTACAAAGGGTCATAGGTGCAAGGACATTACTTTTATGCAATGCCATTTGTCTATACAAGATCCTTTTAAAATGCGTAACGAATTTGCGTAACTGATACACGATTTATCACTTACGTTTTGATCGCTGATAGAATGTTTGTATGGTAGACTAAGTTGTATGCTCAGTAAAAAAAAGCAGCGTTAGAAGAAGGGATCCCTTTGTGTCCACAATGGAAACCTTGTGAGTGGTATGATCAAAAAGATTATAAAAGTAGCATACTGCACGACTCATCGAGACGTAGGCTTTTCTTCCTGATTTCTTTCGCGCTAGCCCCGCATTTTTTATTTTGGCCTTTTGTACGTATGCATTCATAACATTCTGTTATTGCAGTAGCTGTTTGATCGTCACGATGAGTGATTCTTTATTTGCAACTAATAGTCTAACGTTCTTTTCGGTTTTTTCTCTAAAGTTTTGTCTGTCTCGCTCTCTCGCTCTCTCTCTCTCTCTCGCTCTTTCTCGGGCTCTGACCTACACAGGGTAGCGTCATGTGGGTTGTGCTTTTATGCTGTGAAGCTGTGGGATATAAAACTGTGTGAGAAGTTGTCATTCGTGTAAGAATTATCAGTTCTGATACTTCGTTATTATAATCGGTTGTATAGCCCACTTCTGAAGAGCAGGGCTCTGGTTGAGTCCTGCATTGCCCGGCGGCGCCTTCACACTCGGTAAGTGCATCTAGCACGACGATGATCCCTTATCAACGATTAAGCCCTCCCTGACCTTTTTGTATTACCGATATAGTGAGGATGACTTACCCTGTCCGCAGTGTGCGTAGAAAGCTCGTAAGTACTCTTGGGTATTTTCATGGGTGTTACTTTTCTATTCAAAATTACTGTTATTAGGCCCAGACATGTTTTGCAGGCCTAGTAAAAAGAGGGAGGTGTGTTCGCCCCAAACACATCTCCTGCAGTTTCATGTGCAGCCATGAAAGCAAATTCGTTTCTCTCTATCATAACAAACATTTATATCCGTAAATATGTGTTTGTTTATATTTCTTTTCTTATCCTCAGAAATCCATTTTTCCGTAAATGCAGATACAGGCTATTTCAGCACCTTGGATACAGTACAGAAGTAGGAGATGAATTAATTATTGTTAACGTGCATATCTCTAATGCGATATTAGCAGCAACACATTCAACAGTAGCAATGATAATAGCAAAAGTAGTCTAATTAAAGGGAATTTAATAACCATTAAAGTGGTTCTATGTATCCTATGAAGACCACCGTATTCGATCATTAAGACACCATTTTCTGCGCTTGAGCCAGGTAAATGTCATGACCTGGTTCATCCATCGGCGACAAGGTGACATTCTTTGATGCTGGGTAAAGCCTTCGCTCAGTGCAGTGATATCCGCAGTCAAGGAAACAGGAACCATGTAGCGTAAGGTTGTTGTAGTATAGTCGTCATCACCTAAATCATCGGCTGCTTCATGCGGTGTCCGCTTTTTAGAACATGCAGTGTTGTGAGTATGAGCAGTGGTGGCGGTATCAAGGTGGGGCGGTGCTGCTGACAAGCAAGAAGGCTTGTGGTCCTGTTGCTGCATAGTGTTTACAATGTATGACAAGCGCCACACGACGTGCTCCTGCTGTTGCTGAGCACCACATGGTTGTAGTATTGCTGTTGAGCTGTTGAGCGTCTCCTGGACAACTCTTTGCCTATGCTGTTTGATACTTAAACGTCGATTGGGATTGTTTATAATACGCTGTTGCTGCTGATGGATTTGCCGACTCTGACCCACCATCAACCATTCTGTGTTGCTATCAATCTGCTGTTGCTGATACTCCCGTCGTTGAGAAGAAGATCTGATGAAGGATGTTGGTATTATTGTCGTCGGTTCTGTATAAGAGGCATTTGGTTCGTTACTGCTATAATAGCAACGAGACGAAGATGGCGCTGTTGTTGATGAGCTGTTCGTCATTGCGGCAAGAATATAGCGTAGAGTTGGCGCATTTGTCGTGGATGGGTCGTAACGATAGCGTTGGCCCTTGTAATTTATTGGAGTAAATGATGCATGCAAGGTGGACTCGTTCAGAGTGTCGAAAGCATAGATGCACGTCCATCTTCCGCGTCCCTCTTGATCAATCACAGTGGCTAACCGGATATACGGCAGTAAATTGTAGCGGAATACCTGGCATGCTACATGTCTCAATCGTTTCGATGTATGTAGGATGGAACAAAGCGTGTTAAAGTCAACAATTGGGCATTGTAAAAGGTATAGTAAAACTTCGTCAGGTAGACGATATATCGAAGGAGAACGGTTGTTGCTGCTGTACTTGTAGGATTCTTTGTTGATGTTGCTGGAAGTTATTGAAGACTTGTTATGATTTCTTGTCAGTGTCGCTACCCAAGAAGAGCGCTGCTGCTGCTGATAGGCATTTCCCATTTTCTCATCAATGTACTTTGATTTCGGTGAGTGAGGGTGAGTCGGGGAGAGTCTAATTGATAGGTATTAGACCCTGTGTCTTTTCGTCTGGTGATGCTGAGTGAAGTAATTGTATTTTACACTAATAAGACAACTTGGTTTACAAAGAGCAAGAAAATAGACAAAGAGAAAAAAAGTGTACTTATACAGCAAATATATGCAGGCTGCAGTTTATACCGCGCACTGCTGAATAAAATCTTTTGCCGATATCATCAATGGATCGACAATTTCTGTAAACCGGGATTCAAGCTAAGCTTTGTGTTCCCGACCAAGTGCTTCTCTGGATTCTTGCTCTCGTTGTAAAACATTAGCGCCTACATTTCTGAAACAGCGAATTTCCTAGTTAAGAAAAACCAAATGGGTTAAAGCCTATATATATTTTTGTAGTCGACCACGCTTGAACAGACTTTTTCTAAAAATGACACCATCGTCTCACAACTTTACTCGACTACCGACTGATGACGAGGGAGACACATTACGGCCAGAAGCTGCCGCATCGCTCGCTTCTACAACTAGTAACGACGATATTTTAGATGGCCTTTTAGCTAAAGTTGGTTACGGAACATTCCAGCGGAGACTATTGGTAAATGAACAGCACACACACGTCTACTACCATAACGCTTAATTGAATTCTAATTATTTTGATGTTTCATAGATTATGTGTGGATTCGGATGGCTCGCTGACAATGTAAGGAATAGTAGTAACGGAAAAGGTCTAGGGATTTTTTTCCAGTGTTGGGTTGTATACTGACGATATGAGCTTTTATATATTATACAATAGATGTGGTTACAGGTACGAATATGCAACTTTCAAACAATTATGATAACCACTGTGAAAATGTTGTCGTCCACATCCTTATTTTTCAACGTGTTTTTATCTCTTAAATCTTGAAGACCGTAATAATCATATTGCCAAGAGTACAAGGTAGAGTATATTAACGCATCAAAATGCAAGGAGTGAGCACACCTATGGTAACTGCTGACTTATCCCTGGTCCTTATCACATATATGTAGATCATTTTGATGTATCCGACAAATGGGTCGGTAGTGTGTCAAGTGCATTGTTCACCGGGATGATGTTTGGTGCATTTTTCTGGGGAACATACTCAGATACTCGTGGTCGTAAAGTGCCCTTCACGTCGACTTTGGCAATTACAACCGTTTTCGGCTTTTTATCCAGCTTAGCATTCAGTTTTTGGAGCTTATGTCTTATGCTTTTCTTTTTGGGATTTGGTGTCGGTGGCAACATGCCAACAGATGGTGAGTAGCGTTACTCTTGATGGGATGACAATTATGTGTGTTCTCACTTTACCTAGAAGCTAAAAGATAACGTATAGGTGCGCTCTACCTCGAATTCTTGCCAAAACAGTACCACTATCTATTGACATTCATGTCTGTCTTTTTCTCTCTTGGTGCCGTACTGGCTTCGGTGCTTGGATACACCATTTTACCCTATGCAAGCTGTCCAGAACCAACAGTAGCCGAACCACATCCAGCATGCGACGTGTCAGTACAAAATAATGGATGGCGTATTATGCTTGCCAGCGCAGCATTTACCACTCTGCTCATGGTCCTTGTACGCTCCTTTTGGCTACGACTCCCTGAGACACCAAAGTACCTGCTTAGCCGAGATCGACGGAAAGAGACAGTGGTTGTCCTGCAAAACATTGCCAGAATCAACGGTCAAGACGTTCAAATTGACAGTACGGATATTCCCCGTTCATCGCCCAATAGTTACAGCAATAACGGCAATGACGAAGAGGAGGTTTTGTTGAACATGGATCGTGATCATGATGGTGTTCGATCCAGACGAGTCTCGTCCGAAATGGATATTGATTATGACAATGATGATCAACGGGCACCTATGCTTGGCAGCAGCAACATCGATAGTGGTCCAGCTAGCGAACAGCAATCACTAGCGGGAACGCTAGCTCCGAGCGTTGCATCGGAAACGATATATGGTGATACGATCGAGGAAAACAGCAAATGGAAGCTGTTGTTTGGACCTCGATGGCGACGAACAACAATTCTCGTATGGCTCATCTGGACATTTACGTCCGTGGCGTTCACCATGTTCAATGTCTTCTTGCCTAAATATCTAGAAACCCTCGGTTTTCAAGGCGAAGCAGCACCCACTCGTAAGGATGTATATTGGGATTATATGATCTATTCTCTGGCAGGTGTACCAGGTTCTATCGTAAGTCGCATTTGTTGTGTATTGGGGATATTATGAGGGAAGAGAGAAAAGCGTTGTACATGATCTACTGTGTCTATGCTAATCTATTTCAATTTAGCTGGCATCCTTTATGATTGAAACGAGACTCGGTCGCAAAGGCACAATGGCTTTATCTTCCTTCGGCTCCTCCCTGGGTCTATTTCTCTTTTCCATCATCAAGTCCCGTGTCACTATGCTACTCTCTTCGTCCTCTGTTTCTTTCCTTGTCACTTTGCTTTACGCTGTCATTTACGGATATACCCCCGAGGTCTTTGACACGAACGTACGTGGCACAGCTGTTGGAACGGCATCAGGTCTAAGCCGGATAGCTGGTATTATCAGTCCAATTGTATGCGGCATTCTATTTACGCTGGCTGCTGTTCTACCCTTATATGTGAGCCTTATAGGATTCGCCATTGTCGGCATTTGTGTAATATTACTTCCATACGAAACGCGAGGCAGGGCGAAAGACTAGCCTGGTTCTCATATACTACCTTGTCCCCCTTCCCTTCCCTTCACCCAACTATTTCCGCGATTACTTTTCTTCCTTTATACAACGTACTATAGACATGCGACAATATATACGCACATTTTATCTAGTATCTTTAAACATTTAGAAAACTCAAGAAAAAGAGATAAGGAGTCCGTCTTCCTCTATTCAGTTCTCAAGTCTCGTTTCTACTTTATTCTACTTTTAATCCATCCAAGGTCCCGCAATCGACGTGCGACAGCGGGAGTTATGGCTGCTGTCAATGACAGTCGAACAGGCAAGAAAATCGTCTTGTGGATACCATAAGCAATCACAAACAAACTCGTGAATGATGGCTTCCCGTGTTGCTGTTGTTCTGTTGTTTTCTCGGGCTTATGCTCCATGCCAATCCATCCTTTGACCTTGTAAAGAATCCAGTCCTCCATATTCCTGACACGGTCCGCTCCTTTGACACTGATCACCGCCATAGTTAAGCTGAGGTCCACCGCACTCAGCGCGAGATATACGCCTACGCCTACGGTTCCATACTTTTTCATGAATCCTTTTATCTTGCCTTGCTTTGTAGTTTGTTGTTCGTCTTGTACTTTTGGTCGTGCCGGCGACGGTGTTGTTGCTGACGAAGAAGGCTGCAGTGGTCGCGATGCGGGAGCTATTCTTGGACGGGACGATGTGAAGAATCGCAGTTTTTGTCTCCACAATGTAGAGTGTTGGTATCGAGTCGCTGCGATTGCGACGTGGGGCCGTAATAATAGATTACGCAATGGAAGTAAAAGAGCCATGGTATGTAGTACTAGTATAAACTAGCGCATGAAAAGCGGTATTTATTTTTATTTTCGTTTGCCGGAGAAACTTTTTCGTGGTACGCATATAATTTATGACACAATAACATGAGAAGGGTGGTTGTTGGATATGATGTACAGAATGGATGTATGTGAGTTAAGAGCTGAGCATGCTTGTATAGTGGCTTGATGGAAATGACACGTTGTTGTATTGGAACGCAATATCAATTAGATGGAATATATGGCTCTTTAAGCTGTTTCGCCATGAGGTTGTGTAGGGGTGCAGCCGGGCTGATCGTTTGATGCCATGGGCGTCGGCGTTGTGGCGGTTTCTGCATGCAAATGGTTCTTGTCACCCGAGGAGGAAATACCGGTTAACCGTGCCTTATAAAGAAAGATTATGTATATAAGCATACTATGCAGACAAAGTGCACACGAGTACTCAGAGGAACAGAAGAAGCTTTATTCTTCGTTTTATCCTTACCAGCTCCTCTTCAAGCTTGCCTTGCTTCTTTAATTCCATTCTACGATTGACAAGCATACCAACATTGACCATGTAGTATACTGTGTTGAAACACAAAAAGAAAATGAGCCTTTTTATTGTTTGAAACGACGCCACTATGCAATGTGTAAGCTACCTGTAGTTCCGGCAAGGAACAGCACTGCCGACTTTTGTGCAATATCAGCCAAGGACGACGGGAGCGGCATAATGTTTTGTGGTGTGGTTTTTTTATGTGTTGGTTGTTGGATAAAGAAAAGTCGCTTCTAAGCCTTCAACCCCGGCCACAAGTCTATCGATTACACCCTATTGGTCAATGCTCCCGGTCAATGCGCTAAGAACCCCGCATAACGAATTTGGCGGAAACCCTCATTCTCTTCTAAGGTCAATCTTTCTAATTGTTACAGCAACTGCTGTTCTATGATGGATAATTTATACAGTAGTTGCTTTTTCAAACCATAACAGTCATATCTAAAAGGTATATAGTACCTTACTACCTTATCTTCAACCCATGGTAACCATCACCGTGACGTTTATTAACCCTTGTTGTCGCATAGCAACGAGATGATGATAGTAGTGTTTTTCATGGGAGTGGTTGCTGCTATCATTTTTCTGGAGTATATTGTTTGCTGTAGATTCTACTAATTTATGACTCGAGATCTTAAAGCTTACAACTGTATTTTGTATACAGTAGGCGACTCATTTTCGCAGCCTCCGTCGATTAATGTTATTTCTTCAGAACGTACTTTTCCAGTTATAGTATCAGTACCATACGTCATGAAATCAGACGTCGCATGAGGAGATTTTGTCACCACCTGTGTAGTTGTACAGCCGATGGGGATAGATCATGTGACCAAACCAGCTTTTCCAAGTAGCTGTCAAAAAATAAAGCTAGACAAATTTTTAGTGGTGATAGTATCACTGTAAGACCATACAAGGTTATTGATCGTTTCTCCTGTACGTGCTTTTTGTTACGTCTAATCGAAGAGAAAAAGCGAATATGTTCTGGTGCAACTATCAAATCATCGCTCGTTACTAGGACTTCACGCGTGAGTAATATAAAGGTCGGTATTACACCAATTTCTTTTATACCCCACTACTAATAGCGAGATCAAGAATTATATCTTTTTATTCGCATGATTTGTTGAAACAATTCAGCAGCATGCTAGTCCTGCTTTTATCAGACATAGAATCTCTTGGAGCCTATATCTACACATTTACAAGCTTAACGCTTCATCTATAGACGTCGTGGGGTTTGCACCGACGGAAATGTCTATTTTGATGTGTGCGGAGAAAACGGAAACATGAGTGAAGGAGGATGTACATCTCAGATCAGGCATTTCATTGGTCACTTCTCGATCCTTGTTAAGCGGCGTCCAGGGGTTTTGGAAGGAGTTGGTAGTTTAAACTTCATCAACTCAATACCACATCACCAAAGCACATCATGTCCCTGAACGTCAGCGATCCCGCAATCATTGAAGCCTATGATGATGTCCGAGATGACAAGTCTTCAACCGACTGGGCATTCTTTGATTTCGCGGATGGTAAGCCCGACCGTCTCAAGGTTGCTGGTACTGGTTCTGGCGGTCTTTCCGAGTTTGTTGGACAGCTCAAGCCTGAGATTGCTGGTTGGGGTTACGTTCGTATGAACATGAGCAACGACGAGTAAGTTGACATTAGGAGTAACAGTACACGGGGACCTGCAAGTAGACGGGAAGTACCGGGTGTATATGTGTATAAGTACACCATAGGCTCTTTCCATGTATGCTTATACTTCCTTTATTTTTTAAAAAAACAGGTACTCGCAGCGTATTAAGTTTGTTCTTGTTCCATGGTGCGGTGAATCAGTGGGTATCATGCGCAAGGCAAAGCTCAGTATTCAGATTGCAGATGTCAAGAACATCCTGCGCAACTTCCACATCGAGGTGCCGGCGTCTCACGTGCAGGATCTGGACGAGAAGGATATCATGACTAGACTTCGACGTGCTGGTGGTGCAAACTATGATCGCCAATCGAGCAACTACTGAAAAAGCCTATTCCCTCTTCATTTCCCCACTTTACCAACATCCTGTCTTCTAACATATCATTATCTCTTCCACCCTGTCCAAATTGTGGGCGGGGCTCTCACACAACATGTACACATGTAGATCCTTTGTAACTTTACAAAAACAAAAAGGCATTACTTTATATAAGAAAGAAACATCAAAAAAGAAGAGAAAAAATACAAATTAAAGACTTCGTTGAACTGATCGACGTAATGGCTTATTTCCACTTGCATCAGTCGTATCTTGTTCCACTGCATCTAATGCTATTGATGTCGTTCCAAATCCACCTTTGGCAGTGTAATCTTTTAATCGGTTATTGGTATAAGCCTTGCTTCCGAGATATCCACCCAGGGCACCTTTATACAAGTTCTCTTCTGTTAATACCCTGAACAAGAAAATAAAGTTGATACGGTACTTACATACGGCCAACGCAGTCCTATGTACACAGCATTTTATGTATGGTAAGTTAAAAAGACTTTCTTCTAGCCACAATTGATTCTTTCCATTCGTTATGAATTGCATTCTTACCAGCCGAGGAAAATCGATTTCGGGTGGTTTTTCATTATTGTTGACAACAAAAAGGCAGAGAAACAAGAATGGTTTCCGCGAATATGCCGCAAAAAATCACGTCACTTTTTACTTTTGCCCACTTCAACAATGACAACCAGAGAGCTCATTCTCTACCTAGAACCTACACCGACTTCACCATTACGAAGTCGCGTCCAAAAATTTCTTGACGATGCCAGGGCAGACTTTTATCCAACCACTGCTTGCAAATACGAATGCCATTGCACAATGACTGGTTTTTTCACAGTACCAGGCGAAGAATCACAAGTACAGCGTGTCACTGATACGTTAGATCGACTATTACATAGCAATAGCGGCAACCGCGACGGTATAAGCAATTCGCCCACAATTGAAACGACACCACTCCTTGTGAAGAAACCGAGAACATTTGTCACGGAATTGGAAGGAGCAACGAGAATTGAAGATTATCCAGTCCACCTTTTATTACCAGTCTCAGCACCCAGTCGTCTCCACGACGTTGTACGTGATTTTGCATTAGAGTACTCTATCGTACGTCCAAAAGCCATTAATCATATCAGCCTTGCTTATTGGGACGAACCACATGCGACAAATGATCAAACATTAGAATGGCACCGGCTGGTCCTGCACGAGCGTCTGATGGACCGTATGTATGAGACTGCACTCAACGCGTTTAAAGATATAAGTAATACCGCTGATTATACCGAGTGGGATATCGTCTTGTACGAGCGAACGTGCAAGGGCATTGACGTTGGTAGCCGACATCGATTTTTGGAACATGCACGGTGGTCAGCATCTTCTTTTTCTCGCTCCTAACTCTCATCAGCTGCTACTGCAAATAAAGCGTCGTATGTAATATATTACGTCGTCTTATCGGGGAAATAGTCCGTCAAAAACAATGTCGCGACCGTAATGATTCGAGTGTCAACTTGGCGGTTCTGTTTCAATCGTAACAAGCTCGTCTTTAGTGCGTCCGTTAAAATGACTAGAAAATAGACCACAATGGCATTTTATAGTCAGCAAGAGAGATAGTAATGTGGCACTCGTAAATTGCGTTTGTTCCAACAGGATACCTTGATGTGAAGTGTCATTGATAAGAAGCATCAGAGTAGTCATGGCATTAACGACTGCATCAGTGGTGGTACTGGTATCGTGTCGAGTGCCGTCTTCAACGATGGCGTTGATTGATTCAATATGCTTAGTATTCGATAAGATATACTGGTAATGCTGAGGATCTATTTTTCTTCATCAGAACTCTTGCTCCTTTCTGAAGGAATTTTCTTGTAGCATTAATGAGATCATAGTACCTAGACAGATGTTGGCGATACCTCCTGCACCGAATTCTTGTAAAAGCGAATCTTGCTGTTCTAATGCGTCTACCTTCCACGTTTTAAGTTAAAATTAACCAAGTTCGAATATATATGTAGTGTTGTTTTATATAGACTAACCAAAAAACACATCTATCGCATTAGCTTGCCAAAGCCAGTTATGATTTATTGAGTCATATGCAAAGTTTCCAAGGTTTGCCAGCACCTGCTGTTTAGCCTCTAGTAAGAATGAATTTGATGATATAATTAGTCACTAAAACGGCCTACTATAAAGAGCACTGATAGAAGAGTGCAAGAGTTGACCACCATCAGAATATTACCTATATCTTTAGTCGTATGATACTCTTGTACAAGTTGACTCAAATAGAATTTGCGATCGTTTCCGGGCTGACCACGATGTCGTTTTCGTGATTGTGACATTAGGTTACAAGCGGAAAAGAATAGCAGAGAGAACCTGTTGCTGCCCTTGAAAGAGACTGAATTTATTTCGGCGCTGTCGGATTCGCCTTTTCAGTGTTTGTTTTATTGTTGTCACGGTAAATGTTACGATCACGTTCGATCTGTTCGGCATGCAGCAGACGTCTCTTCTCGAGTGCATCAAAGAGTATGTACTACTACTTTATCTCTATAAATCGGGGCTCTCAAACGACAACAAAATCAATAATGATCTCGTTCAAAAAAACATCAATAGACCCTCTTAATCGTGTACGCACATCATTGTCGTCCTTGCCCTCGTCGCCACCACTACTGTGCTATTATAGACCGGGATCAGCACTCAAATACAGTTCGACTTTGGCAGCAACTAAAGGACGGGATGACGCCCCGCATTTGCCATCGACAAATAATGCAAAGCAACAACAGAGCGACGCCGAACTTTTAGAAGCTATCAATGAAAAAATGCGCCAAAGTTTGGATATGTCATCCATCCGCACTTTATCGGGTCGAAGTACGGTAGAGGCCATCACTGGACTAGCTCAACAATTAGATAAAGCCAATGTTGTGTACAATGCAATCACCTACGAATACTTATTAAGCGCGTATGCAAAGGCGGATAATCCGGACCAAATTATGCCCCTGTTGGCTCGAATGTATCAAACTGGCGTTCGACCAAGTCTCAGATTTTTTCATGGTGCACTGAATGTAAGCTAAGCCTACAGATAAATGATGGCTCTACAGACCCTTATTTTTACACAAAAAAATGAAAGAGAAGGCGTCGAAACTGAACGTTGACGTATATCAGCTATCAGCGCGTTTCGCCGAAGCAAGGCTGCAGGCACGGATATTGGAAGAAATGAAAGGAGCAGGATACGATATCAAAACTATTGCAGTATACAGCTACATGATACGGTGCATGAGAAATAATGGCGAAATCGAGCGTGCATTGGATACTGTGGAGGCAATGCGAAAGGAGAATATCAGCCTGACGTTATTCATATGCCAGCAGCTGATGGATATGAGCATCGAGCTCAACCACCCCGATATCGCATATGAACTGTTAAAGGAAGGAGTAATGCTAAATTTTTTTACGGAACACCATCATCACATATACATGGATTTGCTACGTTGCGCGGCGCTAAACGGCTCGGTAAATATAGAAACGCGCTTTTATCAACTGATGCATACGAACGGCGGTCCAAAGGAAGGCGAAAGAGAAAAATTAACATTGGATGTGTGCTTTTATAAATAGCATGTGATCGTCAAGGATTTGTGGCAAGTTGTTTTGGATCGTAATATTGTACCAGACGAGGGACTTTGTCACTACATTTTGCACGTCGCAGCCGAACATGGTGATTCCCGATTAGGGAGTGATGTAATACGAATACTTGGAAAGGCAGGATTTCCGTACAAAGAGTCTCATTTTGCACCGCTGGTCGAGGCATTTGCGGCTTCAGGAGATTGGAAGAGCACGCTCCAAGTGCTTGACTTGATGCGCAAAGCAGGTCTAACGCCCACACAGGAAACTACACGGTCCATTGCATTTAGACTGGGAAAAGACACTGATGCTGTACGGCTCGCACGAAATGCTTTGGACGATCTACAAAAAGAAAATGCGATCGATATTCTAGCATTTAATCTCGTTATCCATGCTTTTGCCTACAACAACCAGTACGAGGATGCCATGGAAACTTTTAGGAAGGCGTCCGACATGCAAGTCAAGATCGACATCGAAACCATCCACTCTGTCTTGGACGCGTGTATACATGCCGAGGAGGTTGCTGCGGGTGTTCGAATATTCAATCAGTATATCCACGGCGATATCAAACCCAATGCAACAACGATGAGTAAAATGGTAACGCTCATGTGCACGCAAGACGACTATGAGGATGCGTTTAAATATTTGGAAAGTATGAAGGCGATGGGTCTTGTTCCGCTGCGTGGATGCTATTACCGTCTTGTCAAGAAGCTTGCTAGTCATCAAGATACAAGGCTCTCCATAGCACTGGATGAGATGAAGGCTTGTGGTTATCAAATGACTGCATTCTTACAAGGACATATAGACAAGCACATGCCACAAGATGAAGAAAATGTGGAAGATAGAGAACCCCGAAGATAAAGGCTTTAGAGCAGAGAAACCCCCCCAATTTGTGTACATATACCCTTTTCATCAAAAAGTAGTTCGTTCTAGCAAGTTAATCATATTCAAATAATTCTTCACCTTTCTGTATGATCACCTAAATCACTCCGTCGGCATCTTGTTGAGTTTCAGTGGAAACGCACCGCCACTTTGCGTGTAGTTCCTTTCTGCGCTCGACGATCAGATTAGAAACAGAGATGGCGACAATCAAACATCGCTTTGTCGAAATTCACCAGGCACACACCGTTGTTGGATCTGACAAGATCTGGTCAACAATAACGAGCAGTGAATTATCCGTCATTGCTGTTTCGAGCGTGTGCCAAAAGATTATTGCTGCTGTACAAAGTGGGGCTTTCGAATTCAGCGACACTTTGCTTCATTTACAGAATCTTGTCCTTACGTGCCCTGATCGCCTTAAGGCAAGCGTGTTTCTTCGAACAGTTACTGCTCTTCTACAATGTCACGCACAGCAAAAACAATTTCACGACGCGATCGAACTGGCCCTGACAACGACGACAACCGCTACCGCTTCGAGCTTAGTACATCCATATATTATCATTTGTCGACAACGGCCCGATTTGAGCGACGATGTTTTCTTCGAAGTCGACTTTCTGCTCTCGCAGTATGACGATAGTAGCTATGACAACAGTCTCCTTGACACCATGGGAACATTCTTTGATAGCATTCTTTTGACGACAGCAGAGAACAACAACGATCTTCGAAAAACTCTGCTTGTTCGTTTCGCGAACGCATATCCATCTACAGCACTGCGCACCGAACTGTATTACTATCTCGCGGACGTGATTGAACGATATCCAACACGCCGAGCAATGTCATTTTACTTGCAACTAGTCGACTTTATTGCAGCAGTGTTCACAAGCCCAGAGATACCCGAAGACGAACTACAGTCGATCGCCACTACCTTGTTTTACCAACTCCTCTGTCGAGCTTACGATGCTGCAACATATGGATATCCCACATTACCGTATCTGCAACGACTTGCACGGATCTACGAGACTCGAGATATTTGCAGCGATCAGCCGTTAACAACACCAAACTTTTACGTAATGTGGTCTGGCCTGTCCTATTTGCTGATCACTGCTCAAACAATCAACGATCAAGACACTATCCTCATATTGATGCAGCATACGATCCATCGCCATCAGGCACAGCAGCAAAAGTTTGATAATGCATTTCTCGTTGCCGTTCTGCCTCTTTTCCAAACTTGGACCGAAATTGCCGATAATGATTCCGGTGCAAAGCAACGCAAGTCATTAACGCTGCAAATATTGTCGCAAGTAACTGAGCATGCTTCGGTTGAAATAGAAGAAAAACCAAAAATTAAAGACAACGTAAGTTGCATATAGTCAACCGTAAAAATTGGTGATTTTACTTTGCTTTTCATTTACTTTTTCTTATGACTAGATTATGCAGATACTGCAAGTGCAACGGATGACGGGCGTCATGGCGCACATGATACCATACCTGCTTAACTTTATTGATGGCCAGCTGGACGGTAACGCGATACCGACAAACTCAGTGTCTCACATACATTCTTTGATTTTCACTGCACCTTACGTTTTCTCCAACAATGCCAAAGCACGCCACTCGAATCTCGATCGGCTTGCTCAATTATCATCAATCGCCACTGGGTCATACTCCTTCAAATTTCCATCGTTTTTGCTCGTCCTATATCTCATGAAGTCCAAAGATATCATGACAAGTGAAACCTTTTTGCATATCTACCACACCGTTATTCCGTCACTTGTTGATGCGAACGATCCTATTGCAACGACTAAAATTCTTCAAACAGTGCTTCCATTGATCCATGGCCAGCACACGTCTCAAGCTCATGATACGACGATGGCAGCAATCGGACTCAAAGCTTTGGTCAAGATTTACGAGCGACAACCACGCGTATGGCATGAAGTGAAGAAAGCTTTGGCAAACTGGATCCTCCACCGCAAATCCACTCGTAGACCGGATGAGAAGCTGGCGATACAGATGGAATTGGCAGTGCTAACAAGCATGCGTGATCTTTGCAAGAGCCATCCACGAACTTGTGCTCAAGATATTTTGCCCATGGTCGTTTCACTGCTTCAAACGTGCACTAATTTGAACGTTGCTTCGTTAGCCCTAATCGTGGATATCATGTGCACTTGCATCAGTGCGGGCCTAGCTGAATCGCGCTCCATGTGGAACGTCGCTGTAAGTTTCATCGCTTCATTTTCGATGGAACGTGCTCAAGATCAGATGGCTATCCTTTGGATCAAATTATGCGACTTTTTTGCGATTGTGGGAGACGGGAACGAAGGTAAAACATCTACATTTTTAGCATAATCTGTTTGCCACATTCTATCTAAGTATTACTACGCTGAATCTATTAGTATCAGAGTCATATAACGAGTTTAAGGACGATGTTCTTTTCAATTATATTGAACCATTGATGTCATCTGATATTGATGGTATTCGATCGAGTGCCCTTTCCGCACTCTCCCATTTTCCTGCGGACGACATTATGCGGCTCCTTCCTGAAAAAGCCAAGCAGTTTACGGACGAAGTCATTGCCGAACCAGACGAAGCGCACGCCAAGGTTCTCACGAAGCTGCTTTCTCACGAACTCGACCATATGCGACGCAACTTATTTAAAGAAGATGCACCTAGCAATAAATCCAAACCAGTAGACGAAGAAGCACAAGGTCAAAATACTGCTGGACGCCCTCCTATCGGTGAAAAGGAGGCGGAATTAACAGGGCGCTTTGTCAAGGCATGGGAACAAGCAGGCACTGCCCCAGGTGTTCGAGCTGGATATACTATAGCCGTATTGCACGCCACTAGCAGCCACATGAACGACACTTCATCTTCAGCTGGTAATTCGATCACCAAAACTAAATGGTACCGCTGTATGACCACTTCCATCGGTGATATTGGCTTGACCGACCATTTGCTTGTACGCGTATCCTGTCTATCCGGTTGGGTATCATTGTTCGAGACAGCATTTGGTCTGGATGACTCGACTTTTGAAATCAAAGGCACACAAATACTACGAGATCTCTTGGGAAGACTTGAAAAGAGCACTGTCCCTGGAACGACCTGTAACATACTCATGGCACTTACTGGCTTTGTATTGACAGCCCATCGATTATCCCCTTCATTCGGTGTGTCATGTGCTACGCAAATGATCGACCTACTCTTAACAAAGTATATCGTGTCGACCGACCAACAACAAGGCAGTAGATCAACACTTGTCATGAGTGAGGAGGTTCAGTTTGCAGCAAACTTCTGCCTCGGCCATATTGCTGGATGCGCTATTTCGAATGAAAAGCTGGCAACACAGATGCTCAATCTCATGCTTGATAATGCGACCGCTGAAAATGGTACTGGACGACGCATCGACACTACTGTGGATCTTGCACAGTTTGCACGAGGTTATGCAGCCGCCGTTTACACAGCAGCACTTGCGACTTGGCCGACTAAGACGCATGGTATTGACAGTCTTGCGAAAAACGGCCTAGAAACACTGCTACAGTATATCAGTGCAGCAAATCAACGCGTATCGGAAAGTCGAGCCTTGGGTATCATGATGGGGTGGACTGCCAAGATGACACGCTCAACGGATATGCAGGAAATTTGCTGGCTTGCCCGCGAAACTTTGAAAATATATACAGAACAAGGATCCCCATCAGCACAGCTGAACCGGGGCATTTTGCTTGGATCCTGCTGGGTGGCAGCCTACTCAGCGGTAGACGAGGACGGCAACTTTGACTCAGACACTGCACAAGCATTACAAGAAGCGGCGGAAACGGCATCAAATGATGTGGGTAACATGAACATCGGAACCATTTTATGCTTCTGACTTGCTAATCTGACTTTTCCCAACCCTCAAGTCAAATATGGCACAGAATTACTACCACTTTGACGTGGCACTTGCATATTTAAATCGAGCTCGCTTCCTCCAGCGCCACGAGACCGAACACTTCAAGAGTTTCGGTGCGCTACTACGGAAAGAGCTGCACCCGATCAAAGAAAGCGATGTCAATGCTGCAGCCACTAGTATCCTAAGCCTTGGCTGCTTGCTCGGTGTCGATTATCTTTCCCCATCCGTTGACCGTGAACTACTGGCAGCAGGCGCTCGCGCATATAGTAATGAAGCACGGGTCGAGGTTTTGAACACACTTGGGTATGCGGCCGGTGTACTAGGCGGATCACTAGCAGTCGGTAATCTCAAGAATACGCGTATCGCTGCTGTAGTTTGCGGCAAGGTAAATCAGGCTGCTCACACAATGCGTGATGCCAAAACACTCGAGGAAGGCGACGGCAATAGCGCATCGGCAGCAGCCCAACTCTTGCTAAATGCATCAACTGAGCCCAAATCGTACAGCCGCCTCAGCAACAACACCAGCTTCTTACGTGCAGTATTCGACAGTTTAATGCAACTGATACATGACGCTTCGGATATACGTACAATGGAGATACTGCTGCTCAGCTTATGTGAAACTCCTGGCCCATTGCCTCCAGTCAATTGGTTTCCGCTCCTGACTGACATTTCCAGTATCTCTCAGCATTTACGGATACTAACTCTAAACTTTGCCAGCCAACACGCCCTCACGTCCATGTCATTGACCGAATACATCATTTCGCAACTTGCCGAAAAGCAATTCGATCCAAAGGTGCAAATACTACTGGCTAGTGAGACAGGGCTCGGCAAAGTATTCGAAATGAGTGGGCTTCCCAATCGCAAGTCTCGGACAAGTGAAGCAAAGCGTCGTGGTATGGATGCTGTCACTAAAAAGACCAGTATATCAGAAATGCGATGCATCGAACTGTTTGAAGCATATGTTAAAACGTTCAAACATATGGATACCAATGTTCAGGTAAATGTTTCGGTCCTCAGTTTCGAGAAAACAGTAACTTGAGATTAATATACCATTTACGTATATAGCTGGAGTTTGTATCGACTTTATCCGAACACCTTCCTCCAATCAGCGAAACTATTGCCGACGAACACAAGGAACTTCTCGTAAAGACACTGCGCGACATCGTCTATTTCAATATTGCGGTACCTCTACTCAACGGAAAGCAAGTAAAATCGCCTGTATCAAAACTTGTTCAGAAAGTGATCGAATGCAGCGTCATAGACAACAGCCAAATAAGTGAGCAAGAACTTACCACCGAAACCGCTTACGCGCAATGCGCTGCTGTAACTGAGCTATGCCGTCTTCGCCGGACAACTGCACCAGTCCAGCTGATTACCACCACCGTACGACAGCTTCTCCTAAAAAGCATTCATGATAAAGCTGCTTGGGATCAATTGGGCAAAGCTATCCTCCAAGTGGATTGCGACTCTACGAAGCAAAAACTAGCTTGGGTAACTCGTATCTTGGATACGTTGATCGTTATTGGAAGTGGCAAGGAGCCAGAAGAAAACAAGGCAGAGGTTTTGCTTAAGGGGTTAGCCGACGGATTGCGACATGTACTATCCTTGTTTTGGTGGCTATCTGATTCTGGTGCATCGATCGATAGAACAAGAAATGAGCCCGATGCGGCGGTGCTGCCTGATACAGGATACATGTTTGCCCATATAATGTACTTGAGCAATGGATACTCGCAAGAGCAGCAACAGGTAAATTATTGGTTTATACACATGGAACCACAAACTCCGTCGACATGCGCCAAGTCTAATACAACCGCTACTATCCTTGTATAGATGGTCAAACGTATCTTAAAGCTCATCTCTTTATCCGGTACTTGGGGATCTGATAAGCGATCGGAAGAATTCTTTATCCAAGTTATTCGCGATAGTCCAGAAAAAGCAATTAGCGCACAGAATCACGATGAAATTGCGCGGATAGTAACATGTGAATAGATACAATGGTTTTGAGATCTACATTGCCTTTATTACTGAAGACGTTTTAGACAAGAGCGGTATATATACATAGTTATTGAACATGCTCATAGCGTCCAACTTGTGCATTAAGCATCTTGTACATATTTGACATTCTTGTTTCTGCGCGACCTCTATCCTCAACCAGTGTAATTACTTTGCCTCCTTGGATTCCCTGAGGAGACAGTCGACCTGTTCGTCCAGCCATGTGCACATAGCCACCCACCGAAGATGGCTCACCGAGAATGAAAACATGGGAGACATTGGCAATATCCATGCCACGCGCCGAAAATTCAGTACCGATCCACAACGGCGTTTTATTATCGCCTTGGTTACTGCTGTCGATGATGTTGTCCTTTTCTTGATCATAGTCTCGGATATCGTGGGCTCTTAAACCATACTCTGCCAACTGCCTTGCCACATCTGAAGTACTAACTGATGTGTCCACAAATAGCACGGCATTATGGACATTTTCAATTTCATGAAGTACAGCTATGCTTTCTAGTAATGCTGCCTGGCTGTTGCTTTGGTGGTGGTTATCATCTCCATCTGTCAACTGCTCGTCGTTACCACTACTGTTATCGTCTATATCCGTGCCGTAAAATGACCCTATATTGCGGATTTCGCCACCCGAGACGAACAGACAATAATGTTGCGTTCGCCCATTCAAAGCTTCGACGTTTTTTGTTACATCGATATAAACAGGCTTACGGATCCAGCCTTGCATTGTCATCCAATGCCGTAAAGGGCGGTTTAACGTGGCTGATGCTGCGACGACTTGAGGTTTCGTGGGTAGTTCTTGTAGCAACTGACTGACAAGCATCTGCGTTGGCTTTGGATTCGATGCACGTTTCTTTTGCTTTTTGAGTGGTGCGTAGCGTGCTGGTAGGCGTAAAGCTTGATCTGCCTCTTCGAGGACAATACAATTCAGATTGCTAAAAGGTATTGTGTCCAGCGACTCGAGCAATCGTGCCGGTGTGCTAATCAACGTATGCGCAGGAACGCATGTATTTGCTTGTACTAGGCGGTGCGTATTAGAAAAGCCGGACAACAGTCGGATCCAGTAGCCAATTTGTGCAGCGAGTTCGTAGTTGGGCACAATATACAGAGTTCGTAAGAGGTCACTGTGATCATTCTGATCGTTAGCGTGCACTATTTTGGAAGCCAAAGCAATCGCAATGCCAAATGTTTTGCCTGTGCCGGTTTGATCACGTATCAGCAGATCGCGACCCGATTGGATGGCAGGGATAAATTGCGACTGGGCTATCGTGGGTTGTTGAATGCCAAAATGGCGCTGCAGATTGTCACATACTATTGGAGCAACGTTCAGATCCTACCATGACACGTCAGTCAAGTGAGCGTGAATTTGTATGCGAAAGAATTGGCGAACCTTGAAAGACTGTGTGCTGTACGATCGTCGAAATAGTTGCAAAAATAAAGTTCGTTGTGGCAACATGGATGTGGCGGACCTGCTCCGTTTCGGCTCAGAGAAAATATCCTGCCGAGGGAACAACCATGCTTCTGTCATGACGGCAAATCACAGTACATACCCAACGAAAGTTAAGTTTCTTTTTCTTGCTGCTCGTTTCCGGTTAGCCTACTGATACACCACGTCACTCACAGTTTTGAAGCATGAGATGCTCAAGCTCATGTCTATGCAAACATCATATACAAGTTGAGCTCCATGCTTGGCAACATCAAATTCGTAAACGTCATATGCTTGCCAGTATACTCCTTCCAAGAGATATGATATTGCTACATCTCACAGTGGATGCGCATACTGCAAACAGATTCATGAAGCTTTGAGTGATAGACCTCTCGCAAATCAAAACGAGAAACACATGAGGGATTAGAGGGGCTGGGGTGGGACAAATCCATATTGTTGACAAAATAAAACGCGGGCTCAGCAAACTTCCAAAAGCGCTGTCTCCACCTAAAAAGGCAGGTTCATTTGTGCTTAAACCAAATTTCCTTCAGCTTTTCCTAGTTCAACCACCCTCTTTTTTAAATCATGTCGTTATTCAGTTCTGTATTAGATGCTCTTTACGCTGCAGTTGGGTGCTGCATTCCTGATGCTAATATCAGCATCAATGGTCGTGCCTATCGAATCGTCAAACTGCTAGGCGAGGGGTAAGTTTCTTTAAACAGCTTTCTACCCTAGGTTGACCTACCTTGGAGGCCGTTAGCTGTTGAACAACAGTATACGCGAAGAATATAATAGCTTATAAAGACAACGATCATTTTGCTGAACTAACACGCGTGAAACGCTTAGCGGTTTCTCATTTGTGTACTTGGTCGAAGATGGTTCTGGTAACCAATACGCAATGAAGAAAATCCGCTGCACACTCGGTACTGAAGACGCCAAGGTCGCTCAACGGGAAGTAGAAGTTTATCGCCTGTTTGAACATGATCACATCATTCGTATGTTGGTACGTTTTTATTATAAAAGTCAGCAGAATAGCTTTCTATCCTCCATATCTTTTACTGAGTCAAGCGCAATCATAATCATAGGATACAGCAACGATAACAGATAATGATGGAAGCACGACGATTTACATTTTCCTTCCATACTACAAGGTAAAAAACTTACGACAGTATACGCGAAAGTAGCTTCCCTTTTTAAAATTTAAACCGACCAATATTACACGCTTTTTCAGCGTGGCAACTTGCAAGACGCGATTAGTCGAAACCAGCTTTACAAACGGCACTTTACGGAAAACCAAATGTTGCACTTATTCCGAGGCGTTTGTTCAGCAGTGGAGTTTATGCACGATTATAAAGGAGCTAGTGGAGCACGGACAGGTTATACGACACAAAATCCGATTTTGGATGATGAAGGGGGAGACCATCACCATCAGCAACAACAGCAAACAAAGCCATTGCTCAGTTCGACTTCACAACAAGAAACATCCTCAGCAATTGAAACACATACTCCCGGCAAGGAAGGAGAAGTGGTACCTTGGGCTCACCGTGACATTAAGCCAGGGTAAGACTGCCGCAAGAGATTATATTTGGTGCTTAAGGATTGTAGGAGAAAGATTACATATGTATGTCTTATTTGTGTAGTAATGTGCTATTATCTGATGATGGTGAAACGCCGATCTTGATGGATTTTGGATCTGCATGTCGAGCACGTATTGAGATCGACAATCGACAAGAAGCATTGAAGCAGCAGGTATAGTGGAAAAAGAAAAATGTCAAAACCACATTTTTTTTTAAAAAATGTGAACAAGAGTAAAAATCAATTGATCATTACTCCTTTCTTTTGCAGGACTTAGCGGCCGAGCACTGTACAATGCCGTTTAGGGCACCGGAGCTTTTTGATGTCAAAACGGAAACAACATTGGATGAAAAGGTCGATATTTGGTCATTAGGCTGTACTTTGTATGCCATGGCTTACGGTCAGTCGCCGTTTGAAGTGAATAGTGAACAAGGAGGTTCTGTCGCGCTAGCTGTTTTGAACGGTCAGTTCAAGTTCCCCACCGATCATGAAGTGGCCAAACTGTATTCGCCCGAGTTTAAAGATTTCATTTCATGGATGCTGACATCAGATCCAAAGACGCGCCCAGACATACATCAGGTATCTTTACCAAGTGATAAATGCAAAACCTCTTTTTTTATATCTCATCTGGAGCTCCTGACGTTTAATAACATATATAACGGACTGTGTGTGTAACTAGGTAATCGACAGAACCGAAGAGTTACTGAAGCGAAGACCTCAAGAAAGCTCGGCATAAGAGAAGCTACCAATAGAAAGTTATCCTAAGCGACACCTTTTCTCACTATATTGTTCACCCTTTCCTTCCTTGTACTCATATCCATCCCATATACGAAAAACAATGCTTGCATCAACTCGATGTCTATTATTACCTTGACTAATTCAAAGCATATACTGACAACAGAAAAGAGATTGCATGAGCCAAAGTATGTCAGGACCTACTACGCATAAAATGCAAGTTAGCGTATATTCATGGCATCTTGAACAATACTGTAATGAGTAGAGAAAGCAATAGTAGTAACCTCGATCAAGTATGCTTTTTAAAGGGAACCAATACTTGGATAGAAAGCATCGCGTTGCCAAACTCTTCTCGAAATGTTTAGTTATAGTAGAAGCTTACGCTACTAAGCTCGTATAATAAAAGGCAGGCGAACCTTAGGACTTGACGAGTATCATTTCATGATTAAAGGTAAGGATGACAAAATCATGTCGAAGAGGTGTCAAATATCGAGTAAGAGGAACTACCGTGATCGGTTAGTGCGATTCATGCAGAAGTCCATAAACTGCTTCAGCGAAAGAGGAGCAAACTGTTAGAGACGAGTCTTCTTTGCTTGGTGCAAGAACCGAAAAAATAAAAAAAAAGCTACATGTGCAAGTGAAAGGGTTCTCGTGGGACAGAAGCTGCCTTCACTATCGGGTAACAATTATAAAAATTCACACACGCACCGTCCACAGAAAGAAAACATCGACTGAAGGGAGAGGAGCAAATGACGTTTGTGTCCCCATGGGCTGGAGATATTGTAATCTGATTAGTTGAGCTTACCAAATATATTGCGCGCTTATCTACAAGTTCTATATCAGGGCATTAGTGATCATTCAACAAAATTTCTTATCTATCAAGAGAGACACAATGTGTGCGAGAGAGAAACAAGCTCCGTTAGTTGTTCTTTTTTGTGTGTTTTATTTCCCTGACGGATCTACTATCTATGTAGTCCCGAAAAAAAAAGGGTACATGCACGAAACTATGTATTATTTACAAACATCTAAGGAGGAGATAAAGGAGGTTGGCTTGTGGTATTGTTGTTTTCATTCAACGGCGCTAATTGAAAACGAAAAGTAGATTGGGTATTGGGGTGTGCTACCGCCGGATCAGCTGTTGCCGGTGCTGTCACTGACCGGTACTCAGAGTCATATCGCCCTATCGACTCTAAGCGACCTCTACTACCGCCTTTGGTACTTTCGTGAGATGGGATTTCTTCCAAAGTACCCTTGCTAGTTTTTATGTCATAGAGTGATGATGATGAAGATGAGGAAGAGGGGATGTTGGCTGTTCGCTTTCGGTAAAGTCCTGTTGCCAATGAAGTCGACGGCGTAAAAGCGGAGCGGTAAAAACAATCGTTGCTGCTGTTATTATTCCTGGCGTTTGAGCTGTTACTGTGGCTATTAAGAGGACTGGAAAAAGATGCCGTTGGTGATGATGAAAACCCTACTGCTATCGGTGAAGACTGATGTTGCTCGTTTGACTGACTCTGTTGCTGTGTAGTTGTAACCTGCTGCTGCTGAGGACTGTTTGCCGCTGCCGCAGCTGCTCCAAGCATCATGATGGTGGATGCCAAAAGACTGTTCTGGTTTGCATCATTCTGCTGTTCGCTCGTATTGTTACTGTTTAGCAGCTGTTGATAAACGATCGAAAGTCTGTCCACGAGATTCGATGATGCTGTTTGTGGAACTTGTTCGGTGGTAGGAGATGGTTGCGACAATAAAGGACTTGGTGCGTTAGCGTTATTATCTTGCAGTGATAGATATGACAGTAACATATTGATCGTGTTTACTTCTGTTTGAAGCTCATCTCGCCGTAATTGCAGAGTTTGTCGAAATCTATCTGGCTCGAATACTAGGCTTGTCAATGCCGAAGTGATTGATGCCAAAGGTGATGGTGAACCAGCTGATGATGATGATGATGATAGACGTCTATGTATTTCGTTGATGGCACCTCCGTTAGACAGTAGCGTATTCAATATGCTATCGATTTGGTTCTTGTTAAAACTACCACTTGCTGTGTCGTTGAGACTTCTTGTTGCCAGCAGCGAGCGAAGCGCAGGAGGCAAGGCATTGTCTTGTTGATTTGTTGACTCGTTGTTACCTGAATAGTAGAAAGGATGACACTGTTAGGCTTGTTGTGAAAGTAAAATTTGAAATAGTGCTACGTACTGCTTTTACTACTTTTACTACTGCTTCCACTGTTTCTTCGCCTTCTGGATGCTCGATCTGCATCCATATCTGTCTCGTCTATCGTACGTCGTCTTCTTTGCTGTTCTTTACTGTGTATATCCACACGAAAGCTGTCTATTGATGCTGAATCATGCTGATACGTTTTACTGTGTTGTTCATGGCTGTAAAATGAATTGCTCTCAGGATGGTCAACAGTCTTTTCAAAGCCGCTGCTCCGTTCTTCATAGTGCTGGCAGCGATGTTCGTCTTGGCGGTGCCGCTGCTGACTGTAGTTGTTCATGCTAAATCGTTTTCGTCGTTTGATAACGTTTCGTTTCATAGATATCGGTCTGTGCATATTATGCAGCTTGTAATATAGACCGCACGCATTACATATTGTGTTACCGTTTTCGTCACGTCGCCAAAGAGGAGTGGTTGTTGTTTGACAATTGAAACATTGCGTTGGAGCTCCTTCAACCCACCTAGCTGTAGATTTACCGCCGCCGCTACTTGCGTTTGTAGTGGTAGCAACTTGTTGCTGGCATTCCCGACAACCGTCGACACGGTAGTCATGATGATGATGGTGTGGTGTGGTTGGTAATGTTGTTTGCTCTGGCTGTTGTGTTGCTGCTGTAGTATTCGACAAAGGCAGTTCACCACTATTGTTGGTACAATCAAGTCTAGCGTGAGGTTTAGGTGCTGAGCTGCTATAACGTTCATGCTGCTGGCTGCTTCCGGACTCTCCAAGGTTGCTGTCGTCGTGTGAAGAATAGTCGCCGGTATTTCTGCTGTTACTACTGCTACCAAACAAGTAATGCTGTGGGCTATATTTCCATAAACCGTTTGTTTCTAAGGAAGAATCGCTATTATGGTTTGAATGAAGTTGCTGCGGGACAGAGCTTCGTCTTGGCGTCCCTCGTCCGTCCATTATCGATTGAATATTTACACAATAGCCGAAGTTTAATCAATTTAGCTAGATAGGGAAGTGATATTGGACCAAATGCTGATCAAAAAGTCAAGGAAAAAGGAGCAAGGGAAGAAAGAACAATCCGAAAATAAAGCTGTGAGGTAACTATTCATTACCACAACTAATATGGAATTCCTGATTGGCAGGTGATAAATAACTTTACGCGGATCCCTTCTTTGGGATACCAAAAAAAAAGTAAACAAAAAGCGGGTGGATAAGATAACACCGAAGCCCAACAGATTTTTTCCATCGTACGAAGAAGTGGCGTACTGACTACTTTATTGCTGTTACTGATGCTATTTTTATTCTATGATGATAGACAGAATATTGACTCTAGAGCATCTCCTCTTTCTCCTACCTTTTGTCTAGGCTGTTGTAATTAGCGGGGAGGGAGGAAGTAACCGGCTCGGGTACCTTACCAAATTCATCACCAAATTCACCTATGATGAGAAGAGACAAATGAAAATAAGCAAGAAAAATCGATAAAGTAATTAGTACGTGAAACTGCCTTTTTTTCGCAAGACGTGCCAAGATATTATACTAAGCTAGACAGAAGGAACCGAAAATAAGTCTGTGTGTGATGTGGTGTATGTCAGTACGCCAGGTGGAGCTGTGTTATTGTGGCACGGATGATAGCCAATTTTACCGGGATTGATCCAAATTTGGGTTAAACAGGAGATAAGAATCCAACTCAGTCTGCTTGATTTTTATGTGTCGCACGCATTTTTATGATTATGTTCACAATAGCAACCATAGCGACAACTGTGTTACTATTCGCTGCTGCCATCCTCATTCAATCTTCTCGTTATCACTTCATTCCCATTCCTGATCCTGCATTTCGCACTTTACATCTTGGATCTCATTCTTTGAGAGTGAAGAGAACTCGCACCTGTGATGACTCAGACAATCAGGTATTGACAGTATAGCATAGTCAACGTGTATATGTGTTGGGTGCACAGACCCATTTTACCATGTGATTAAGACAACCAACCTGTCTAAGAAGCATTCAGGTTATGTTGATAATCTCCAAACGGGCGATCATTTGTTCTTTACTTTTTTCGAGTCGCGTAGTGCCGCATCTGAAGAGGAAGCAAATCCACTCGTGGTAATATCATGCGTGTCATTACGGTGTTAACTCTCAAAGTATTGAAAGTAATATTTAGCTTTGGCTAAATGGAGGTCCAGGCTGCTCATCGTTGGCCAGTGCTTTAACAGAAATAGGGCATGTGTTCATATCATTTTTTTAAATCGCCTACTGTAACATAGAAGTTTATGTAAAAGCGACATATTGACTTTTCTCTCTTGTTTTTTCTACGAAGCGTAGGCCGTGTGTTGTAAGCTCGCTTCACGATGGAATGGAAGCCAACCCATTTAGCTGGAACGCCAATGCAAATATAGTGTTTCTCGATCAGGTATTCGACACATTGAAAACTCTCGGGCCATGTCTCAGATATTATAGGCTACTAACCTGCAGATACTTTGTAACAAGCCTGCCAATACAGGATATAGCTATGGTAGCTATAGCGTCAAAAACTCAAAAGCGGCTGCCCGTGATATCTTTATGTTTTTACAGCTCTTTTTAAAGGCATTCCCACAGCTGTCCACAACTCAGCTGCATATTGCTGGAGAATCTTTTGGTAACTATAGCGGATCACAGGCGTTGATGTTTTAGACTATGGGCTAATCATATCTTTTAAACAAAACAAAAAGCTGGGCACTACATTCCTGCGGTAGCTGCAGAAATATTGACCCAAAACAAAGTCTATCATTTCACGCACATAAAGCTACAATCGCTAATGATCGGCAACGGCTGGGTTGATCCTCGTATTCAGCTAAGATACTATGAGCCTTATGGCTGTGCTAATGACAGTCGATGTATGGCATATTCTAGCTTCAAATGAGCTACATCGAAGATCTTGCACTAATGTTTCCATAGACAAACCAATCTTTGACGAAGCCACATGCCAAAAGATGCGAAATGTGCTCCCTACTTGTCAGAAACTGATGAATGCGTGCTACAAATATCAGAATAGTATAACATGTGTGCCTGCCGCGGTCTACTGCCAAAAAACACAACTCGGACCCTATGATAGTACCGACCGCAATGATTTCGATATTAGGCTCAAGTGTCAACGGGAAAGTGAACTGTGCTACAATATCACTGACAGCGTCAATGTCTGGGCGAACAAGCTTAAAACAAGACAAGAACTAGGAGTAGATCCAAGCAAAGGCGTTTTTACGACCTGCAATGACAAGATCGCTTATCGCTTTGCATTGTCCGGCGACATGTAAGCCTTTACTTTTCATCTTTCACTCAACAGATATAGTAAGATTACGATGTACCGTACGGTTGGGTCAAATTCCGAAAGATGGACTTAAACCATTTTGTGTCCATGTTCCCAGGATTATCAGTTATGCCCCGCAAGTAATTGAAGCCTTAGAAAGTGGGGTTCGCGTGTTGGTGTATGCTGGTAAGTAGTCTACTAGCTTATGAGGATTATAGTTCAGGGCAACTGCTATGTAATAGCATTAATTTAATACCAAAATCTCTGTAGGCGACATGGACTGGACTTGCAACTGGTAAGAATATATGATCGTGAAAAAAAAAACGTACCTCATACAATTTTTACTGGCAAAATTTTGAAGGTACGGTAGTCTCGCGTGGACAATCGCACTTGAATGGTCAGGGCAACACGGATATGGCGAAGCTGCAGATCTAAAGTGGTATAGCTCCACTACGGGTAAACTCGCTGGGCAGTCGCGCGTGTACAAGAACCTAATGTTTTTAAAAGTAAACAATGCCGGGCACTGGGTAAAAAATCTCCTATATTGTGTCTCTGCTCCAATGTTGTTGTTTGCGGTATTACTTTACTAAGCAATAAACCGACAACATCACAATTAATAGGTCCCTTATGATCAACCGGAACATGCTATGGAATTATTTAATACATGGCTGAATAATCGCACACTTGTATAGAGTTATCGTCAATATTCACCGCTCATGAAAAAAAATGCATCGTGATCAATTTTTTTCACACTACCGTAAAATACCGGCTTGATAAAGGATTATGCCATAAAAGGGCGAGTTTTCGTATACAATATTGGGATCTTGTTGTGAACATCATGTAGAGATAATCTGATCATCCTTAAAAGCGATACCGCATTTGCTTCTACAGTAAAAAAAAGAATGTTGTTAATAGCATACCATGACAACGTGTAACTCCACCTTATCTGTAGTTATTAAAACTTCAAATTTGGTTTGGGGACCAACTTTACATAAACATGCTTTTCTGGTTATCAATTTAAAGAACTGGGAACTGCGAGTAGACATGTGAATTATTTATACATTCGCTCTTACATCTCCCACTCCAATCGATGGCTTTGGCGAGCAGCTCTTTCCGCGGTAAAGTTTATGCAAGAGCCAAAACAGTGCGTAAGTGCAGGCTGCTCTTTATCGACAAGTAGAACGCAAAGAAGAAATTCGCTTGAATTAGCGTATTCTATTTTATCGCAAGATATTTCGCAATATACTTAGAGATACGTCATGATTTCTATAACAACAGCTAAAAACAAAAACAGATTTACAAAATAGGACGCTAATTCATTGCCCTTCAAACCAATGCCATTAGCGTCGGATTGCGTTGACCCAGTCTTAAAAGCATGATGACCAGCAGTACGAGAAGCACGTCCAGCGTTGCTATCTGTGTTGATCATTTGTGAGTCAGAAGCAGGTACGGAAGATGATGGACCGTTTGTCACGCCAGCGGAAGCGGCTGTACCGACGTCAGATGGTGCTATCTGGGCAGATGAAGGTGGAGTTTGTTGCTCGTTACCCGGTGCTGGTGGGTTTCCAGGTGCAAGTGGTTGTCCGCTATCCATACCTGTAAATATTGTGATATAATCAGTATAAATTATTTGAGGTTTTACAATTCGCAGTGTATACCAAGATAAAATCACTTACCATTTTCAATGAAGAACGCACCAGAAATACATTTTGCATCCTCTGAGTTGCCGAGTATAATAACGTCTTTGGAAATATGCTATATCAGTGATGTGAAAATAAGCGTATAAACAAAAAGGGATATGGACATACAGTTATCGTTTGGCGCAATATTGGCCGGTAACTTTAAAGAGTATTTTCCGGGACCAGCTGGTACTTCAGTGGCTACTTTTGCAACATCTATATATCCTCCTTCATCTGTAGGTTGAGCAAGGGTAATTGCACCGATGTTTTTGTCGCTCACTCCACTCCTGTGAGCCAACAAAATAAAAAGAAACCATTAGCAGCTGCCGTGCTTCCCAAAACAACATCTATCTACGACAACATTACCATCGAACAGTCACCATTTCCCGTGTTTTCCATATCGTTCCCTTCATAGGAACCATGACTAGTGTTAAAGTTCTGTGTTACTGTTGAGCCAATCTAATTTGCTATTTCATTTCATAATTTTGGCCTCTGCCTTACCTGAGCACCCATCATGCGATTTCCCAAAAGTGCGGGTAACGAAAAAGACGAGGAATGCACTTGCAAAAAACGCGAATCTTTCAAAGATCCTGATCATGTTTGAGTACCGATAAGGAGAAAAGAGCTAAAAAAAACATTAATTCGCATTATAAACTCGTTGTGAATAATCTTGTTTGCTTGCCCCGGAATAACTTTATACAAAACACAATCTGAACAAACAAATCGACTCGCAATATTTCATTCAAATCAACATGTTTAACATCACAAGCACATTACACCACGCTACTGACACATAGCTGAAGAGCAAACCGTCTTTTTTTTCGACGATGAACAAAAGGGTACTCGACGCCTCTTTTATTCTCCCAATCAACCAACATGTTAAAAATTTCGTTTTTAGCCGACCCTCGTTGATATGCAACGAGGGTATTTGCCTTTGTCGATTGTTTACTTTATACTTAATATATCCAATTAATGACACACTGTAGTGTTGTTTGTTAGTAGTGGATTACTTTTTCTACCCTTTTGAATGAAGCTTTACTGCAGTAACAGTACTGAGCAATGCCGACAATACCCACACTAAAATGTCGCATTCTTTAACTCGGTCGTTTATTTGCGATATTCCGTTTCAAATAGCTTTTATTAGGCTTCTTCATAGCATCTCTCAAGAGCTTCACTCAAAACCAGCCATGCTTACGGCTGAAAGCGCTCAGCTAGACATGCACGCTCTTTAATTATTTGTATCCTTGAAAAACATCATTCCATTTTTTGGAGCAACAACTAGCCCCTATTTCTCGAACGTTAGCACCCAACGTACTGCTGACCACCCCCTGCATCAAGTTGCTGTTGGTTGCGCAGTTAAGAGTATAAATAAGCGAAATACGTGGTGTCGTATTTTATCTTTACGTTTTTACACGTTTTCGAGAGGAAGCGGCCTCTCGATATACATTTATACGAGCTATATATTACGACGGCGACGGCTTGTTAGGTGTTGTAGTGGAAACTACATTATTCCAGTCATTAATGCTCGCGGCTTCAGAGTTCCTGTCTTCAGTGACATAAGAACAAGATCGGTGCCTATAGCAATGCTACAAAGCGAATAGTAACTTAAGCAGTTTACTCAACGCTATCACAACAAAAATTGCCGTTTCCACAATTTTAATTCATGATAGCCGTCTTTTCTCCTCCTCGCGATGGTGTGAAGAGCAACTAGGCTTAACCAAACGCAAAAAGCAATGGTGACTATGTTGAACAGCAGCAGCAGTGGGGGCGCACGCACGCAGGCAAAAAAAATACCAATGAGGATCATCATTATCGGAGCAGGACAAAAAAAAATAAAAACCGGCAAAAAATAAAAAGACTGGACTCAAATCCTGTCGGATTTGAGCAATCGCTCCTAGGTGGGCTCGAACCACCAACCTCCTGATTAACAGTCAGACGCGCTAGCCAATTGCGCCATAAGAGCTAGTTGACAGCGTTAGCTGTGTGTACAATAAGTGCAAAAACAATTGGATAAGGAGGAGGCCAAGGAGGCAAGAAGCAGACAGAGGAGGAGGATAAGGATAGAGGAGTCTAGGTCAGGGTGGTTTTATATTATTATATCAGCTCTATTCTGTATAAGTGTATTTATATAAAAATCACTAGAATTCGTCTCTTAGATAAATAAAACAATTTATAGGCCTCAAAAATAAAAATGATTTCAAAAAGCAAGTAACTCTTTAGTAGAATCAAAGTAAAATCATAACTATTTATTATATCATTCATTATTGAAAGAGAGTCTAAGTTCACAGTATATTATAATATATTATGATGGTTCTAGCAGTAAACCTTTTTTACATAAGAAATTATTTTGAAACATTATAAATATTATTAATCAATATAAACTAGTAGAATGGTAATAGACATCCTTTCATACGAGGAATACTAGGACACCACATATTTAATAGAATAATGTAATAACAAAATTAATTTACAGTTTACAGTAAAATTAATTGTTATAGATTACTCCTGCTAGGGAAAGGGAGGAAGAAGAAAAATACAAACTTTATACATGTGAGGGGAGATAGAAGGGAAGGAAAGACAAACTAATTATAGCAACGTGGTGAGGCCAGCCATTTCAGCATCCAGGCTGAAAGAAGTAGTGTCTTCTTCAATATTGGCTGTGAGTAGGCAGCCTCGTTCTTCTGCATAGGCGTCTAGTGCATAGTCAACTTGACACCAGATTTCAGAAGAAGTGGCTTCTTTTTGATAGGGCTGTTGGGCTGCACTTGCTACTGTTCACTGCTAGCAGTATTGCTGTTGCTGTTGCTATCATTGAGGATTAAACATTAATCTAATGACTATAAAAATTTTCTTAATTTTTATTATCTATAATATTCATATAATTAATATAAATTTTATTTATTATTTAATACTAAAAATAATAGGAACAACTTGTTTTTCTTTCTCATACAGCAACAACAAGAACATCAATTATTAACATAATTCTTCTTATATATATATATATATATATAAACATTTATAAGTAGTATATATTTTTGTTTTTCAAGAAAGAAAAATATAAAAAATACATAAATGATTCAATAAATTATTTAACCATATATTTTCTAATATATTTAATATTTCAGAGGTTTCTAGAAGCATTAGAAATTTATATGTTAATTTTGAATTTTTTTTTATTATCATGTGAATGTTCAAAATTAAGATTTAAAAAATAAATTTTAAGAAAAGATATGCAATTGCATCTGAATCTTTTATTTTCTAAAAACAAAAGAATCTTTGATTTAAGTTATATATATATATATATATATATAATTAAGAAAATAAGAGTTATGTTAATAGTTATTGTTTTTGTTGTTGTTGTGTGAAAAAGAAAAATAAGTTGTTCCTATTTTATTAAGTATTAAATAATAAATAAAATTTATATTAATTATATGAATATTACAGATAAATTCTTATACTCATTAGATTAATGTTAATCCTCTAGATCAATATTCTAAATATTCATCAATATTTTGCTTTAACTTATATAGAATGTATAAGCTTTCTATTACTAGGGGTTTAATCATTAACCTAGTGATCACAAAATATTTAATAAAAATTATATAATCTATGATTTTTTAAGATATTAAGAAAAAGAATGAATTTATGTCATAATTTATTATGACTTGATATATATCAAAGTAAAAGATGAAAATTATTTATTTTCTTTTTCTTAGTATCTTAAAAAAAATTATAGATTATAAAACTTTTATTATACTTTTTATAATCACTAAGTTATGATTAAACCCCGTTGCGAGGGTGTTAGTGACATTTTACAGTAACAGTCATCTTCCTCACCCATCCACTATTGTCTGTTTTCACCTTTGTAGTAATGCTGTGCTTGTTGATAGTGGGTATTTTAACAACATCTTTCGTATTTGTAAAGGTTCTCCTCAATAGGCAGTGAGAAATGGGAACAACGTAAAAGTGAGAAAAGGAAGAAAGAGCGTTCAATGCAACAACACATCAAAGCATGTATACGTTATACATGCTGCATAAAAAACCTTTCACATTGCAGAGTTCACAACAGCCAACTGCATGAACCATTTCAGAAGCTCCTAGAGTGTTATCATACAGTGTTTTATAAATGATTTTGCGCCTTACTTTTTTTTAGTTTGCGTACCCAATAAGTTTTGCAATAAGGTTTGCGTACCCCCCATCTTTTTTGCGTATGATGGAATAATATTTGCATACTTGAATAATAATTTGCGCCTTTGAAAAATATTTTATGTACCTTTTTAACATGGCTATCCCAAATCATTTGGTCACTAATTTCGATTCAAGAACTGGTGCCAACTTCGATGACGACTACCCTTCAGATGTGCCGCCGGAGTATATAAACTGCTTCAACGTCAATGATGAAATGGGCGTCATCTAAAACGAGGAAATGAACCCTAAGAAAACTCCAGATCTTTTCGGCATCGCCAACATAGAGTGGGAGCAGTATATTCCTGGAGTAACAGATCTGCCAAAAGAAAGGGCTCCACCAGAGCCACCAGTGAGGAGGATTATGGACTTATCAAGCTGGAAAGAAGCAAGACGAGAGATACAATCAATGGAGGTGGATACTGTTGGCATACGAAAGGCAGAGGTCTCGAAACTGAGGGAAGAGAAGAAGGCACAGAGTGGAAAGAAACCCAAGACTGTGGCTAGACAGGTTAGCAGAAACTACAGATCATACACCCCACAGCAAATGTAAGCACTATTAGATTTGACAATCTTCAGTGGTCTTTCAGCAAGAAAGGCAGGAATTTTGACAGGTATCGTAGTGAGAACCGCCCAACATTATGTTCGTCAATACAGACACAAGGAGGATCCAGGTTGGCTTCCAGGCATAAAGATGATTTCTCTTAGAGGCAACAATCGCCAGCTGAAAGAGGAACACACCGCTTTTTTGATGGATTTCTTTGACAACAATCCATCAGCCGTGCTTTGGGAGCCTCGCGATGCCCTGTATGTGAACTTCCCAGCATTGTCGATCGACATATCTAGTCTACATAGACATTTGGTCAAACACTGCAGCTTGACACTGAAAAGATTGAACAAACTTCTTGCCGCAAGAAATGCCCCCACAACGATCGAGACAAGAGTTGCTAGGATAAACGAATGGAGGGCTGATCTGGAAATGGATTATGCCACCAATTGCGTATTCGTGGACGAAGCTGGATTCAACAAGCACCTTAGAAGAAACTTTGGACGGTCAATCAAGGGAACCCCTGCTAAGCAAGTTGTCCCTTCAAACAGAGGTGTATCAATATCCACTATCGGTGCCATATGCGCGCTTGGCGTTATCGATCTGACGTTAAGAAAACCAACGCTGGTAACAAAGAAGTCCACCAAGGGCAAGAAGAAACGGAAGAGAAATGACGATTCTGCAGAGGAAGCAGTTGAAGCAGTTGAGGAGGTTAATGGAAGGGTAGGCACTAGAGCTATTCACTTTCTAGAGTTCCTCGATGGCGTCTTGACATCCCTGGATCAGAATGACATGACCGGCAGATACATTTTGATGGACAACGCAACCATACACAAGACGGATGAAATTAGAAATTACATCCAAGAAAGAAGATACAAAGCAGCATACCTACCCCCATATTCCCCGTTCCTCAATCCTATCGAGGAATTCTGGGCTAAGGTGAAAGCTGGTGTCAGACGAGATTGCTTGACAGTCAAAGATAATCTCAGTGAAAGGATCACAGAGGCAGCATAACTAGTTACAATCGAAGACTGTCAGGGTTATATCAGGCACTCCATGTCTTTCTTCGACAGATGTCTAGCTGGTGAACTAAATCTTTAATTACAAATCAATAAACTCGATACGCAAATATTTCTTCCAGTACGCAAATTGATATCTCGAGGCGCAAAAATTATTTCATCATACGCAAAAAATATGGGAGTTATGCAAACCTTATTGCAAAACTTATTGGGTACGCAAACTAAAAAAAAGTAAGGCGCAAAATATAAAAAAATAGTGCGCAAAATCATTTACAAAACACTGTATAAGGCGGAAATGAGCTTAACGAGGTATACCTTTTTTTATTTATTTGCTCAATTCCTTTGCTATTCATCGTTCAATATTACAGACATTTGAAAATTGCACAGTACTTATCATGCTTCTTCGTGCAATATTTTAGCAGCATATAAAAAGGTAATAATTGACTACAGATTATTTTAATACAAGGGAAAAGGCGAGATGTTAAGACCTTTTTTTCTAGAAGGACACATAGTCCTAGAAGAGACTCTCCTCCCTTCGTTTCGCCGCAGTGCCGTAGCATGCAGTTGATAACAACTGTCACAGTGATCATTACACTTGACACCGCTAATTCATCATTGTTACGTGAAATCAGCAAACAGCAAGTGCTACTACCGCAATAGTCGTAGTGACGCCATCCGCAGAAAATAGGTTGCATCATGAATACTGGAGAGAATATAAAAGCAAGCAATTCACTCCATGGCAGAGTAATTTAAATATTAAGCTTACCACAACATCACTGGTCAGTGTACGAAAAGTATTCTCTCACGTGTCCATCGAATGTGATGAGTATGAATAGCAGCTCATATAATGATTTGAATCGAGATGAACACCTGTAGCTGTGTTGTAAACAAAGTATAATAGGCATGTACATTACTTTTACTGTCATATATACAGCAATGAAGCGTCATGCTTCCTGTTGCATTACGAGTAAGAGTCTTCCTTATCACAATTTCTATAGTGCCCCAACGCTTGAGTTAATAAAACAAACGAAATGCATTTAAACAATTAAGGCACTTCATGTTTATTCACATGTGGACTACTGTGGTCTGTAAACGTCTGGGCAAAAAAAAGAAGTTAATTTTCAAAATATACATGGTTTCCCTTGCTGGTGTCATAGCACTAATAGCTCGTCTGCTACCTATTAGTAGCGAAGCCTATCTGAAGCCCTGATAATTGCAAAACTAATCTTTTCGCAACGGTTTTCTTGGAAATTTCAGCTCGCAAGAAGCTGAGGCTGACTTTAATACTTGCTATGATGGGATGGCGAGTTAGCGGCTATCATAAAGAAATGGCAAGGCTGTGGCATATACGCGTTCTGTCTGAGATACTATTATTAATGACATAGGTTTTTTTACAAAAAAAGATTGATTAGCGGTCTACGACAAAAGCAATGTCAATGCGGAAAGTCTGCGGCTGATAAAATGAAGCTAGAGGATTTTGAGACATCAATTTGATTTCACAATTATAATTTCACCATACAAATAACTAGTAATAAGAAGATATGGAAGGCTCTCTTTCTCTCATAATAAACTTTGACGGTTTAAAAGTCTCACGAACTTCTCGTCTCAGTCATCGATCCTCGATATAACAATCACCATCATCGTCACCGTAGCTATTGCTGACAAACAAAGCAATCCTCTGACGCTAAAGCAAGCTAACGGGAAACCTACAGCAGCGAAAGAAGGGCAAAGTATTTGATGTAAGCAAGATGACTTACGTACGACAACCAACTAACTTCCAAATACTACAATTCCCAGACAGCATCATATAAAACTGTCTTTTGACCATTACAAAAGACCATTTGCAATACAGCTTAGATGAAACAACAACAAATTAAAGTTAATTTAGAAAAACGAAGAGAGCAAGAAGGGGAACGTTGATGATGTGGGATCCATGGATGCAGTCCAGCGTACATACATCGGCAAGGTGATGCGGTAACCGTGATGCTCGCAAAACTATCCTCACACCATCGTGTACTATCTTCCTTGAAAAAGTCGCTATGATAGCCAAGGCCCAGTAAGTGCATTGACTGCGGGTGTATTTGAACACTTATAAAGTCAACATAAACGAAAGGCCTGTGCGTGAGTGTGAGTGTGGGGTTGAGACTAGTATACTAGTTCCGCAGTCCTCGTTGCTACAAAAGGCACGATCACGTCGAAGAATGGGACGCAAGAGATGGAAGCAAGACAGGGGAGGTCGAGACGAGAAGGATGAACTATAAGAAAGTGTTATAAACGAGAGAAAAGAAGGAGGATTTATACTTGCAGAAAGTTGTGTCCAGCAGGCATGTTTAGAGCTGGCCGGTTCAGGTCCTGCATTAGTGAAAGCATCCTGGCACGATGCACGCTTAGCCCATAGCAGAGCATCCCTACCCCACTGCATTGGTAGAACGTCGGTACGGACGTCTCTCTTCATGGTTCGTCCAAGAGCAGTCAACAATCGCACGGTTAAAAATGACTACAAATGGTGTACTAGTACGGGCTATACCATACTAATAACCGTACCATCGTGCGTGGTCTTTGAAAAAAAAAAGGAACGTCATTTAGACAGTACTAAGAATGATCGCATATCACAAAAAAGTTTCGACGATTCTTTAGGAGTGATACGTAAATAAATACTTACGTTTCGCTCACCATATCGATCTTGCCACAGTAGGTACATTACAATAAAATTGAGATCGAGAACGGGATTTGAGCTAAAGCTATCAATATCCTGAGTATATAGAACCTCTGATCTGTAAAGTGCTATGGAACTATGACGCTCTGAGCTAGAGTCTTTTTAATAGCGCTATTATCTAGCATTTGTTTTAAATGATTGATATCCAAAGCCTTCCATAAAAAAAAGTATCATGCGAGGCACTGATTGTCAACAGACACTGTCACTTCATTCTCAGAAAATGAAAGATTAGCACCAGGAGAAGACGGAGGGATAGAAAAACCACGATACGGGATATATTTGCCAAAATTCTAGCAAGGTCCTGTTACTTTGGATCGTGATGATAACTTCCTCGAAACAAGGCTTATTACGCGTGCAATGATAACGAAATCAACAACATAAGCGCCTTTTGGATATCGTTGTCCACATATGTCCCACTTTGTAAATTTTTCTCTCATAATACCGGCACCAAAAAAGCATGATCTCTACTATTATTAAGCGCGTATGATAACAAACTTCTTGCTCATCGAGTTAGACTTATTGGTCTCCCACTCACACCTGGTCCCTTTAGGATCGTACAACATGGACTACTGTAGAGAAATTTGGTTAGGGATCGCAGTATTTCCATATTATGAGAAAAGTAGCCACGGTCAGAACTGGTACTGATTGAGGACCCCATTTCTATTCGGATACAGTCTTTGTGAATGATAAACTTGTAAGGCTCAACTAGCGAACTCTGAAATCATTCTAAATTTGTCTTGCTTGAAAGGAAGCGGATCAGTCGTCTTCGATGTAAGCTCTTCCTCGGTGTATCATACATTCCGTAAAAAATGCGTTGCAAAGATTGACCATAGCGAAGATCGAAGAATAAACAAGCAGCAATTGAAAAGCCATGTCTACTTTACTTATCAACCGATCATGGCCGTACTGGATCACAAAATGCGCTCTTCTGCAAGCAATCAATCAAACACAAACTGCTAACTCCATTTTCGTTTTTGCATTTTTATATACACCTTTACTCATCATACTGCATACAGAACAAGGAGGACGGTTGTGACAAACTGAGTATATTAACAACATTACGATTTCCTTCTATCTGACTCGATGCAAATGATACCAATTATTTGGCTGGTTGAAAGAAAAGAGGGCCGCGAATGAGTTCATCGGTTTTTCCCTTTTCCATTGTTTCGGTGTTGTATGCGGTTGGAACATTTTGATTATACTCTTTAGGTTCCATATAAGGTATATTTTTTAAAACTAGGCATAAACAAGTATTGTCGTTAGAGCTGTCTTTATTTTTCAGGATACTCGGGTGCAAAAAAGAACTTACTTTGAGAAGGCACACAACCTCCTGGCATATGCGAGCATGTGCACTCACCGCCCAAAAATGTTGGAAGGTTTTCCGCTGGGATTTGCTTCAAAAGCACATCTTTATAGTCCTTTCCCAAAATCTGAATTTTATCAATTGTCTAGAAAAGAGCAGATACCATAGACCAGATGAGGAAAGCGCTTACAGCTATAAGGATTCAAACAAATTCCCTCCCTCCCCAAATATTTGTTCTTTTGAATTTAAAGCTCCAACAACTTACACCAGGGTCTAACCATCCCTTGACGATCTTCCACACCATGACGAATGCTGAAGGTGCGTTCACCAAATACAACTTGTTTAACGTCTCGGGATAATACTTTTGGTCTGTATCTGAAATAGCTCTGATGTAATATAGGGCCGGCATATGGAACTCTGTAATATGATGAGTGGATCAATATCTGGCATTCGTAATCAGACTAAATATTCGAATAGAAACCTAGAAAAATGTACTTACGATGCCATCCCATGCCTGTACAATCGAAAATGACTGTCTCACGATTGATAATCTTACCAGCCTTCTTTGAACAGTCCTTCATGATTACACGATGGAGAAACTCGTTACAGCCAATGTGATAATGTGAGACCTCTTCACTTGTTGCATATTTGGCGATTTCCTTGGCCGCATGATGACCCTATGGAAAGTCCACCCCTTTTAAAATCAGCCTCCCTAGTTCCACCTCTACCAATTGACCCTGCAAATACTGTCTTTTGATCGAATTAAAAGGACTCTTAGCTTACCAGCCGCTCAATATAAATTGGACAGCCATCATTATCCGTCTTGTGCAAGCAACTTCCGCCCATCCATCGATATATACGCAAAACAGCCTCTGACACACTAGGATGCACGTCTAGGTTTCCGTCAGGTAGACATGAAAATCCGCGCACTGGATATAGTAGGGGAAGCTTATTGTCCAACGTGGCCACTGGATGGACGTCAACGTTGCTCTCCTTTCGCCAAGCTAGTGTATTTTCTAATTGTTCCTTTGCAGCTTTCTGAGAGTACGTGTTGGCAGACGAATGAGTATTTATTTCGAGAAGCCCGAATGCGATCAAATCGAAGGGTTAAATGCATGTCTTTCACAAAAAGCAAGGCTACTTACAATGTTCCAGCTTCGAGCAATCAGGAATTGTATCAGGTACTATAGTAATAGTAGCAGCGTAGTAGTTGGCAACAATAGTCGAAGTTTTGTAATCCATAACCGAATATAGTCGTTGTCCATGTTACCTCGGTTTTCAATTCGACTCCCTGATCGCCTAATTCAGCGCGCAGCTGCTGTACTGCCTCATTTTGCTCTTGTTCTGTCTCGGTCATTGCGCTTGGCGTTTTTATATTGGAAAGAAAAAGAGACAGAGGTGGTATGTTCAGGCGACCCGGCAATAAAACAAGCGGCGATAAATTTAGCAGAAATGGCATTTAACAACTAAATGCGCACGTGGTTCCTGAAACGGACGCCCAGGGAACCAGTACATCTGATGGTAGTTATTATCTAAGCAAAAGGCTCGATATGTGCCTGCAGACAGCAGTCGCCAATAAAGTGCTATATCCTCAAAACCAAGAACAAGCTTTCACAATAGTTAGTGTAACAATAGGCATTGTGCATGCATGCATGCATTGACGAGAAAAGAAAATTTTCCACAGCAGAGAAAACACTTTATTTCTACGACTACGCTCGGTTGATTAACAAGTAGTCGCCTAACTACTGCTGTTAAAGTATTAAATATCACCAATAGCAATGAGTATCCTACCAAGTAAGGCTCAGCAGATCAGAAAGAACTACAGCAGAAGATCGCGAAAGTGGCTACAGTGAAAAATCACGAGTCGTTATTTACCATATCGATCTCGTCAGCAGCAAGACCAGAAGTGTATAATATCAGCTCGTTGTCAATTGATACGTATTCTGTCGACAGACAAATTACAGCGACGCATGGCTTCTTGTTTTGGGTATGATGATGTAGCAGCATTCTTCTATTATGGTGCCTTCTTCTACAGCGAAAAATACAGCCACAGTGCGCGTATACGGAAAGGTGCGTGGCTGATGCCGTCGTATTAAAGAGTTCCGCTTTTCAATGAGAAAATGAGGCAACCGGCAATGCGTGTGAGTTATTCAGTCAGCAAAGAAGAGAGGCAGTCTTCATAATTCTTCATGGTAATCTTATTTCGTTTTAGCATCCGACACAACAGCGCTGCGTTGCTTTTGTTCTTTGTCAGCCGAAATTTGAAAAGGCATTAAATGGGTTTAGAACCTCGGAGCTCTTTTACCCCGGATTATATTTCTTTCTCTAATACTCTTTTAATACTTAGCCATGGATATCGAAGCTCTTTTCAGTGTTAAGGACAAGACCGTCCTGGTCACCGGTGGCTCTCGTGGCATTGGTGAGATGATTGCCACTGTAAGCTTTGTTTTTTTTTTGCTCTTCTCCCGCCGTCATTAGGTCGTGATCGGGTGCCTCTGACATTTCAATGATTCAAACTAAAAACTATGAAACTCTTTGACTGACAAATATATTGTAGGGCTTCGTCCAAGGTGGTGCTAAGGTTTATATTTCGAGTCGCTCGGTTAAGGCTTGTGACGAAGTAAGTCCAGTGTTCTATTGTAGCTATGCGACAGCTGTGGATCATGCATAATATATCCATAAGGAAAAAGAGGGATTGGCTGACATAAATGCGTAATTAGGTCGCTGCCAAATTGAATGCTTTGGGCCCCGGCAAATGCGTTGCTATTCCTGCCGATCTTCAAAACTTGGAGGATCTCCAGAAGCTTGCTGCTGAGCTCTCTAAGCGTGAATCCCGTAAGTAGATGTCATAATTATTTAAAAGGGCACGAGGGAAAACGAAAACAGATGAAAGAAACCAACCGCTCATTGAATCATATCAAATCACTCTTCCAACAACCATGACTATCATAGATCTCGATGTGCTGGTTAACAACGCTGGCGCTACTTGGGGTAAGATCTCAGCATCAACTTCTCAGGTAGAAAGTCAAGCTATCGTGTAATCAAACTAACGCACACTTACACGTACTAGGTGCTCCTATCGATGAATACCCTGAAGCTGCTTTCCAGAAGGTCATGAACCTCAATGTCAACCGTGTCTTTAGCTTGACCAAGGCGTGAGTGGATATATATTGGGAGGTTGTTTCTTAGTGGACGAAAAAGACTTAAAAGGATTCTTGTTGAACTAGATTGCTTCCTTTGTTGAGATCCAAGGCTTCCGTCGACAACCCATCCCGTATCATTAACATTGGTTCCATCAATGGTGAAACCGTAAGCTATTATGCTCCGTTTTTAGTGTAGTACTTTGTAACTGGGAGCGACAGTGTACATTGATGCCTATCTTTGTTTTTTCTGCTATAAGGTGCCTGGCTTTGAAAGCTACGCCTACTCTGCATCCAAGGCTGCTATTCACCACATGTCCCGCCACTTGGCCGCCCGTCTCGGCAGAGAATACATCTTGGTTAACGCTATTGCTCCTGGCTCCTTCCCATCCAAGATGATGGCTGAAACCTTGCGCAATCATGGTGATGAAATCAGGGCCAAGGTCCCCGTTGGTCGCGTTGGCACTCCTGAGGATGTTGCTGGTACGTTTCGTGCTTATTATACGAGTGTGTATCACAGAACTCTGACGTTTTTCCCTTTTCTTATTATTCTACAGGTACCTGTATCTATCTTTCCTCCCGCGCTGGCAACTACACCAATGGTGCCACCATTGTCATTGATGGTGGTTCGATCCAGAACAATTCCAGAATCTAAATTCAAACCACATAGCATCTTTTTTGCGAAAATCAATCCCCCGATCACTTGTATTTCTGTGAAATACATATTGTCACGCTGAACTTGTATACACCCTGTCATAAAATAAAGAGCTTTTGTTTGATGTTTTGCACATAGCTTGATGAAGTGTTGACTTAGGGAGTAATAAGCCACGTATTTCTCAACCGCTTCACGCAATCAAATGGGTATAGCACTTGATGAAATCTTGTTTCGCCTTGGCGAACAGGATATCTAGTGGAGCTCCTACCCGTTTCTTGCGATACAATTACTGAGGAACAGTAAGAAGATAATCTTGGCCCTGTATGATACTACCTCGTGCTCAGCATAATTAGGAGTCTGTTCATCATGGCTCCTATCTCGATGCAGAAGTACTTTCGACAAACACATACTGCAAGGTTAAACAAGTATACAAAAAAATCTGAAAGTGTGTCGTATTCTCTACAATTAAAGCATCTGAACAATCTAAATACTGTTCAGTAAAGGATTATATTACACAACGTTACTATCTCATACTCCCAGAATTGTGAAGAGGTAAAAAAAATTACTCGTACCGTAAAGTGGCTTACTCGTGTATAATACTTTAAAGAAAAAGGACTGACATTGATTTGTTAGAGCTTCTTACGGAAAAAATGCGAAAGCCGAGTATGTTCTATTTCACATAACCATTGCCGCAGTTACCAGAGAAAAACTATACCTCACTGATAAATCTGCTTGTGTGCTGCGGCAGTTATGAATGATGTGACACATGTGCACAGCTTACCTATTGCTGCGGCATCTGGCCGCAGCAAATCCGGGAGTTTATGAGATTAATGCCGCATCAAATATAAATAGAGGAGTGGTGTTACATTTTTATTTTTATTTTTCCAATATCCAACGAAAAGGTACCAGCAACAGGAATGTGGACTACTCTCAATACGGCCTCCTACACGGTTGCTTTTGGCGAAACAATGCCAGAAACCAACAATCACAATGCTCTTGACGACGCAGTCCTGGCAGTCCTCACTGACGGCGACAATTTTCCACCGCTACAGTCGTCGCATACGACTAACACAGCAGCAAGACTGGTTCAACAAAACGATGAATGGCAACGAATTCGCTCACATGACCTTGAGAGCAACGACAGCCTGACAGTCTCCTCATCTGGAAACGATGACAGCAATAGTACATACAGCGATGATGATGGCAACAATGATCGCGACGCCGAGAAAAGCGCTACTACGAGCTGGCAACGGGTTAACCATAAAAAGAAGCTGATACGGTCATTTGCTGAAATTGCTGCACGAGCTGGCCAGATCAATGAACCCATTCCTAACGAGTGTTTCTTCAAGCAGGTGCCAAAACGATCGGCGCTAAACAAGGAAAAGACAGTAGAGAGCGAAGCATCAACAACGGCAAAGGGGAAGCATCACGAAAAGACGACGACCACAGAGGTACACGACGACATTTACGATGCACCTTTCGACGGTTATGACGGCTATAAAACGAGCCGCAGAACAGCAGAACTACAGAAACATCGTGTCCTTCGCCACAAACAGAATCTTTTCGACATTCTTTTTGGCCGCCGCATGCGAGCGATTCCAGAAACGCTTGCGAAATACGAACATCGTGACGATCGCGCCAGAGAAAAATACAAGCAATTACAAGTAAAACAAAAGGAAGCAGCAACCAAGGCCAAGCTTTTCCCCTATTGGGGTGGTGAGAAAGAGCTTTTTAAAAATATCGACTACAACTACGTTCGCGAAGTCCGGAGACAGCAACACAAGGACAAAAGGATTCAAATATCGAAGGCGGAATTTGTTCGTGCGCAGCTTCTCGACGAAATGGAACGACGAGGAATGCTGATGGGACTACCAAGATCTCCTGAAAAACGGTCTTTACGCAAGAAACAGCAGAAAAAAGAACAGTCCACCCGAGCGCTCGAGTTTCAGAATCCAGACGTATATCTCATGGGTACCAGCAGGTCATGGCAGTACTATGGATATGCCCTTGCTGAAATATCTCGACAAGTGTATTATCAAGAATGGGATTCTTTGACCCGATCGAACAATCAGTATACAAAACTGGTGCAGGTGTCTGCTTTGGATGGACCGAGAAGAAACAATGCTATCGTTAGTCTGCTTCATGAAATGCTTCCACGCAATTATTACAAACCAGGACAAAGAAAGTTTAGAAAGCAACATATTCGATACTTTGTGCAGAATCGAGATAGATTCGATATAGAGTAAATGCGTCAATGACAGCATAACAATAATAAAAACACTTCTTTATATCTCGCCTCACAAAAGATGCTCGATTATTATAACTCGTAGCTACTCGTTATATACGTAGTACTGAATGGAAAATACGACGTTGAAGTCGAATGCACTATCGTGCTTGTTACTACGTGTGTCCGCCCACTAGACCTTTAAAATTTTTATATCAAAAGGGCAGCGAGCAATTGGATCAAAGTGATAAGTGGGAACAGCAACACCGGATGCTTATCGCCGTAGAGTGATCATGCATCTCTCACGCGGCGAAAACCTGCTCTACCTCTTGCCATTGAATACCAAATCTCCTCAAAATCGTTTTACTGCATAATTGCGCCTTAATACTCAATAGCATATTGATAATTAGGTAGTTATGTGTTATAAATGCTCTAGTATGATCTATAATATTCAATATTACAGCATGCTACGCCCCAGTCGTAGTTTGTAATTTTATACGCCATAAAATCACCTGCTTTCTTCACAAGAAGGAGCTATTGAGCAACTTTAAGGAATTGAGCAGAGACATCACTGGGTTTGCGTTAACTAGCCTCCCTGGTTCTCACTTCATTTTCTACAATCCATCTTCGCAGAGTCGAAATACCACATTTCTTGAACATAAAATGTAGATGATTTACTGACACGATAGCAAGCTTGACAATGATATAACCACTTCCTTCGGCGACGTCAGCGACAACTCCAGTAACAACACGGAAATCAGCTGTACTAGGCCTTGTGTCCATGGCAGCGTATTGATAATTTTTTTCGCTAGGTCGTTTGCCAAAATCGCTGCACCGACTAACGGGCAATATGGCTTGAATTCGTGGAACGATTCTTCAAAAGATAAAAATAGGTGACGCAGTATTCGTTGCTGAAGCAAAAACCGTGAAAATCTCGGGTGAGATTATCATAACCTATGAGAAATAAAAAATAGCGTAGTATTGATCAAATAGTAAAACTGATACTTGTTGTCAAGTGGTATATGTTGGGCTGTTTAAAAACTATACAGGATCCGAATTCGACATTTACACAACTTGTATTTCGCAGATGGAATTATCAGAAAGACGTCCTCAATCCCTTACCTCTTCTGCACATGGAGACGAGCAGCACAAACGCAGGCCATATAGCTTATGTATCAAATTCTCGGTAGAATTGGAGAAGCTTTGTAATCAGACAGCATGATGGTATCTGGAAGATTCAATTGGTCGTGCGAGTCTGGTTAGACTTTCGCCGCTACTGCGTAACATTCAAGTACATGAAGGAACATTTAGAGTGCTCGCAGAAAAACGATTTCGTTTTTGTTCAAGAAAATAGTACGTTATCGTGCGCAGCAGCAGATCAGGAGCTTATCATTGGAAACGGTAATACTGCCATCGTGTATATGTACAGGAGCATTGTTTTGCTCACTCAGTTTCTCCCGTAACAATCCACCGCTGTAGGTAAAAAACTTGCACGATAACAAGAATGGCAGATGTTGTATTCCCATGATGTAGAGCTCAGCGAGGACGATCTGACCATCGCTTCTGGGGATACTGAAAAGGTCAATAAGACGGTCGAGTCGTGGCAGCACGTGGACAACCAGAAACTGCTCAAATTTTTCGCCAAGATTGCTATACAAGCAGGCAGGATCATGCTCTTATTCCAAACGAACGTTTTTCAGGTACACACGGCAACAATGCAGCAGCAAACAGTAACAGCGGTCAATGTTATTGAGATTTACATTATTAGTTGTCGATTAAACGTCCCATTCATTTCCTTGTTGAGGATCTACATCTGATGAACTTTACGTTTACCTTGATGATGGTGCTCACGGTACAAAGGAAGGTCGCAGATGATGGAGCTACGGAAACATAATGCCGCTCTATACGCAAACAGAACCGCATCAACTTTATATCTCGTCGGTACATACGAACTTTACCTTCGACCTTGATTCAACCACAAGATTGCAATGACAACAGTAAGAAGCAAACAGCAGTTAGCGACAACTTGGGACTTTATACTTGAGGTCCCTAGTTGGACTATTTACAATATTGCTCAATATGACCAAGATGTTGACTAGCAAAAAGGCAAAAAGGATGCAGATCAATTTCGAAATGACTGTTGCCGCAGGGCTCTACTATTATTGCAGGCAAGTAATAAAACACCATGAACTTGGTGTCCGGGAGCTTTGGTAATGGGAAGAAACACGAAGGAGAGCAAGCCATGCGTGACCTTCAAGGAACCGCGAATTCGCTCATATGGCCTCCCAGCAATGCAACGCGGCAGCTCTTCTACTACAGCCTCACGCTTATTGGTTTGATAGTGATGATGTATCGTCGATGTAGCCAAAAGATATTGGGCACTTTACTAAGCGAGAAGAGTACACGCTTATGAAATTTTTGTGAGAGGAACAGCCTTACACCTACTATAGACGGGTCAACAAAATTATAGAAAACAACATGTTTACTTTTTTGCACTTAGTTGTAGAAAGCCTAAAGAAACCGAATAATTTGTTTGTCGGCAACCTTATCAAAATGGAAGCTGAGACTCCGAGTTAATTCAGACTTCTTCCTGCAAAAATGTCCAAAAAAGATTCAAAAGTTTTGGAAGAAAATGAAATCTTGAAAACACAAATCGATGCTTCCATTGGCGTTGCACGCTCACTTGTACAATCATGGCTACCGTCACCTAAAGCTGGAGAGAAACTAGACGATACCGAAGAGGACGAAAAGACATTTTCTCGTTATTCAACGGGTCGACCCGACAGGTGATCATTCCCACACCATTGCAATTGCCATAGTGATCTATTTAGATCAACGACGAAGAAGAAAGATTTTATAAGAACCTAACAATCAGTGTCACGATCGTTTTTTTTTGTTCCTTATAGACTAGGTTTGGGAGCCAAGTTTCTATCTCATAAAGAAGCGATTCAACACCAAACGCCTACGATCTCAAAGAACGAATTGAAACTACGGAACAAGATTCTTAACCAGAATCGGCGAGCGGATACCAACGCAGACGATAATACGACGAGTGCAAAACGAAAGCATCAAGAAGTAAGCGATGACGACGATGATGAAGAAGAGTCGCGTACGAGATCGGTAAAAACAGCGCCAAAAGCAAAACAAGAGTCAACAACACCGGAGCCTAGCAACTACAGCAATAGCAGTGGTAGTACGAACAAAAAAATTGGAGCTCAAGGGGACTTTTTGTCAATGTATCTCTCGGAAAAAGCTGGCAAAAAGAAAAAGAAAAAGAAGAATAAAAAGACAGGTCAAAATAGTGGCGATGCTGCTGAGTCATAAAGGAAACGATATATCTCTACCAACTTTTTTTTTGGAATATGGTAAGAACAACGTGTTGCAGACAGTGGAGATTTGCATTTGCTGAACTAGCATTTCGAAAGAGGAACTGTAGCTACAATTTAGTTTTGTGGGCAGTGATCTAACTGTCTAGAAATCGCTGTTTCTAATTCACTATATCGCTGACAAGTGTTCGTTAATTTGAATCTTATGCTTGTAAAACATGAATTTTTTCGATAGCAAAATATGAAAGATATCTGTTTGTTTGTTTTCGCAATACTTGCCATCACGGACTGGAAGGTACCGCTCGGATAAAGATGCAGAAAATGAGATCATAAATGTTAGAGCACGTATAATCGTGAAGTACAATATCTTGCATGAAGGTCAGTTCTTTTTCTGTGATATAAAATAATAATGGTCGTGGCTATGAGGATCATAACGAAGGTGAAGTAATCCTCCTCTTTGTAAAATCATGGTACATGCTGTTTAACGCAATGGTGAATGGCGTGGATGATATTACAAAGCACTGGCTTTTCGAGCATCACCTTGTATGAAGAGACTCCATGTGGTAAACCTCACCACTTTGAGATTGTTCCGGACAACTCAACCCACTCCGCCGTCTTCGTAACTAATATAATGTAGTAACGGGAGCACCACACGCACTTATGAACAATATAAATAATACATAATCAGCATCATATCAATGCTCCTCGAACATGAATTTCAACTGAGAATAACTCAGAACCAACCATCGTATACATAATGATCTATTCTCGTAGTCAATCAACACTTCCTCTCAATCCATATACCTGATTTGCCCAGTTGTCACCTGTCAAAGAGTATGAATCAATTCCAGCACAGACAAAGAAGGTGACATTGCATTAAGAAGGAACACACTGATCAAGGCAAAGATAACTCTTTACACTCGGAAGACAACATTCATCATCATGGCATACAAACTCCATTTTCCTCATCTTCAAAAGATCCAATATTCGACACACCCGCGGTTCATCTATCAGTTTACGCAAACGGAAGTCTGTAGAGCATCCAAAACAATAGATTAAAGCTTTGTTAACTCATTCAATAAAAAATATCTCATACATAACTCTCACTGTATATCGAAATGTCTTTTATTTTTCTCTCTGAAATGACCTGTTTCTATTCCACCTATCAGTGACCCACGTCTATCATACACCAAATGAAAACAGTTTTTAGTGGCACACTCGATGACTTTCTGCTGCTTTATACAATACATATCGTGCACGGAATAGAAAGCGGCTGGCAACAAAAAAGAGCAACAGTTGCAAGAGGAAGCAACAACAAAAAGAAATAAAAAAAGCAACAGCTGCTGAGCAAGTGCACAAAAAAGAGACGATTTCCTCGAATACCAGAATTAATCGCCCAGTGGGGGTCTCGAACCCCCGACATTTCGGTTAAAAGCCGAACGCTCTACCGACTGAGCTAACCGGGCCTGATACTGTACCAGTGCAATCGGACAAATACGAACATAACATTTAAATGTTTATATAAATAATAATAATTATAATATCATCTCCTCCTTCTTCTTTTGTTGTTGTTGCTTAATAAACTTGTATGGCTGTATCAATAGCAGAAGTATATAATAAAATAGGACTAATTTTGTTGTATTTTTTTTAGCTTTGTTAAGTGAGAGTTACATATAAATATAGCTAGCTTCTACTTCTTCTTTTTATTTTTATTTAATAGTACAAACTCAGATATATAGGATTTCTAATAAAACAGTTTTTGATGATAAAATCTAAACAATTTTTAGAAAGTTAGTACTAAAGGTCAAAGCAGATTTTAAAAGCTAGTAGTAAAAGTAATAACTAATAACAAAAAATCTGGTTTGAGCTTAGATTATTAAGAGTTGAAAAGTTAGTAGTAAATAAAAAAATCAGATCTGAGAGAAGTTGATAATAATATTTAGACCAGCTTTGAAAAGTTTGATATTCTCTGTTTAGTATCTAGTAGGCAGTGCATTTCTGTTTTTCTATGGGTAGCTCAAGTTAGATAGTATAGTAGTAGTATAAGGTGATTTACTCATGAATCTACCAATAGGCATTAAAGGCATACTAGCTCTCCTCCTTTCTTTCTTCTTCTTTTCCTAATTTGCCTACTATTGCTCGATTTCTATCTACTACCTCTTCTTTTCCCCTCTTTATGCTCCCCCACTCTCTACTCTATACGAACGCTGTCAATCCTATCTACTGCAATAAACAATTTGGTTCCAGAGCCGTTGCTTACTCTACCCACGATAGCAACTTGCCTCTGCCTTCCCCTATTATTTATCATTTATGTTTCTTCAGATAGCAGCTTTTCCCTTTAAAAATGCTTGCAGTCCCTTTGTGTCTCTGATGCCTTACTTTTCGATCCACCCCTCTAGTTACTTCGTCGCCACTCTTGCACTAAATTAGCCTCGTTTAGCTGGAATGCGATCACTGTTGTATCTAATATGATCAATAACACATATTCTTTAATCGGTCATAAACAATTGCTGTTATTTCCCTCATAACCTCACTTGTGCGGACATTTCTTTATTCATATACATTTTAGTGAAACACCAATCAGCTATGCTCAGGAAGAAGTTGTCATTATATGGATTGTTGTATCCAACATGATCAATAACACATATTCTTTAATTGGTCATTAATGATTGCTGTTATTTCCCTCATAACCTCACTTGTGCGGACATTTCCTTATTCATACACATCTTGGTGAAACACCGATCAGCTATGCTCAGGAAGAAGTTGTCATTATTCGGATCACGTAATTCACATTAGCTACTATCTGAGGCATTTAACTGGATGTACCTTTTACTCACGCATCATACATTACTTAATCCTATATGATTGATTTATAACATCATTTCATCCGTTCAATGCACACGCTGTGGTAGTTGCCAAGGATAAGCCATTTCTTATAAATAGTGAGAACTTCTGTTATCATAATGAACCAGTTTCAATTCCTTTCGGGTCTCGTTGACTTATTCTGCCTCTTTTGGTTTATTGGATATTACAATCACTCTATGATGATAGAGCTTCAATAATGATAATAAGGGACAAGTTTAAGTATCTTTGAGATGATGTTTTATTCCGACAAAGATAAAGCTCTTTCATATTTTAGCTATTAAGACGGCAATATCAGTTCATCCGAAAATTGGATAAACTATGTGATAGAGGATGGATCAACGACGTATCAGAACTTCTCATGAAGTCACTATGTTAATCAGGCACATTTTTGAAACCGGCGTTAGCTGATGATGTAATGGCTGAGGTATATGTTAATAAATTCATTGTCCTGTTCACGTAAGGTGGATCATCCGAATATGAGGTTTTATTCAATAGTGTTAGCCGGGATGCCGTGGTATTCATACTTGTGTGCTATAATATTCAACCAAATGTCTTATTATTGATATCTTAAGCAGTGTTTTAACGTGGTTCGCCACACACTCAACTGTTTGGCGCCATGGACTCTGGAAGGGGTTTGATCGCTGACTTTCTCTGTCAGTTTTTAATGCGTTCAGACGTCAACCCGTCTTTTGGCACCCTAGATTTGGCACCATTCTATGCTCGCTACCATATCGCTGATGCCGCGCTTCATACTGGTTCTACTCGCCTATACCGGCTTGCCCGCTTACAATCTACCATTGATCAAGTGACCCAGGTCCCTTCCTATCCCGCCTTATCGCCTTCAGGTTAGTGCCTCTTCTGGCGTTCGCGGATTTCACCCGCTTCACGCACCATCTGGTGGCGCATATTGTACAATAAACTGTCCTGTCGCCAAACTTTGCACACCATCTTTCCTGAACATTCCCGTCCCCGATATGTCAAATTTGCGATCAAGAACCCGACTCCCGCGACCACTTTCTCTTTTCTTGTCTCATCAAATGGCAAGTCTGGCAACAAGTCCTTCAATATTGTGTCTTAGAACCTGTGTCAACTGTGTATGTCATCTCTGCTCATTTCTCTCGTGATCTACCAACCTGGGAGCTTCATCCATCCAACCTGTCTCCCATACCATTGATTGCTGGCGTCCTTGCTGGGGTTTGGCATTCACATTGGAGCTGTGTTTTCTCTTCTATCCCTTTCGACTCGGATTCAGTTTCTCACACTACACACAAGCATCTCATTCGCTTCCGACAGGAGGAGCTCTTGCATCACCCCCCATAGAATAGATTATTAACATATTCGTTATCTTTATCAAGCACAAAATACAAAAAACAAAGTTCTTCCATGGAAAAAACTATATAAATCATCAGAGCGAAAGGTCAAATTACTTTCAATCATCATTGCCAGAGCTTTCTCTTTACATAAGAAGCAAGATGAATGAATATACTTAGTTCCTACATATGAGAAAGCTGCTTAAAGTCAAAACAGCAATTTGCTTTTCCTTCTTCCATCGAACAATGATCGCGTTTGACTCGATCAGTGCCGCTTTCCGCTTCTTCTAGATGGAGAGTTTAGAGTGCTCCATCAACGGTTACTGGACAGCAAAGAAATTTTGGACGCACTTAAAGTCTGTTATTGTTAGTGCGTACGTATCTTCTCAGCTTTATTAGTGGGAGACACGTGAAAAAAGACGGCATGGTTGCCTCGTCGTATACTGGTTGCATTGAAGGGAAATGGCTATAAGAGAGTGTGTCGTATGTCGTACTACTCAATTGTTTTCCAATAAAGGGGCACGATGGTAGTATAGACCATGATATGATCCGTAGTATTGATAAGTCATCCTGTAGTCGAAATGTTTATTGCCTTACTTTACTACTGTATACAAGAGCGCAAAATTGGAAGCTTCACTGCAAGTCTAAGATAATACAAGTAGGGGCATGATGGTGATCACGTCGATGGTAAAGAAGATATTATGTACGAAAACACGCCGATCAACAAGCAGGAGGACTAACAACAAGGGAAAATGAGTTTGTAGAAAGAAGATGAAAGAAAGAAAACAAGAAAGCGAGACCCCAAACGTCAAAGAGAAACTGTTTTATATTTGAGTATGAATAAGCAGTTAGAAAGCACTTGTTATGACGCGTTTCAACTGATCAAGTAAGGACGAGTCCCGAAGATGGCACGCACAATGCTGATGGAGCAGTCGTTGCGGTATATAAGCGTAGGGCATTTTTTCGCCGGTGAAGCTAGCTTATTCGACGACAAGAAGTAACCCAGAGCGTGGAAAGCGCTCCTTATTTTGCTGCTCAAATGCATAAACGTCCTACGCCTAAGCATGAATTAAGGAGGACTGGTGTAATTGCTGGGTTTACCGAGCAACAAAGTGCCTCTTTTTCTGGGTCGCGATTTCGCTCACAAGTGCAGTTTATTTCTTCTTTCTTTATTTCTACCTCTCTTCACTTTTTTACCCTCCTCGCACTCTAATGCAAGATCTGGGCATTACCGCTATACACCGTGCCGTACAGTTCCCTACTGATCCAGCGTCAGTACGCAGCCAACAAGCCTTGGCACAGGCTGACGCTGTTGTAGTAGATCGTGTTTTGAAACGCATCTTGAACTACCTCCATGGACGGAACGAACGATGGCCAGCACGACGACTATTCCGCTGCTTGGACTATATAGTACAGCACTGCAACCACCAAGCAAGCAATGCCATCTTCCATTCAAGATCCTTCCGATTGTGTGTCAAAGCAGCGCTGAATCGTCTTGCGCAATATGGCCGGGGAGGAGGCGGCAGTGTCACCACAGCAACAGCAACAGCAACAGACGGGCAGCAACAGCACACAGCAACGCCAAACTTGGATTCCATGCAGACTATAATCAAGTTTATCGGCGACGTGCTAGAACACCGAAGCTGTAACGACGCTCTTTTAATGGAAGTACGACAAAGTCGAGCGATCATGCACATTCTACAGCTGGCGGGCGCTTATCCAACGCTCGAATCCAATTGTCTCCGCACATTGGCCGCAAAAGGAAAATTCTTTGCAAAGGACCTGATCGAGTACGATGCCTTTTATATTTTAGCCAGTTTGGTGGGTCGTGTGCCCGACCTACTCATAGCTAACGCTACAGCAACAACAACAGCCACTACTACCGCCACTTCCTCGTCCGCTACATCCCATGCTATAAGGACGCTCCATCTCTGTGTCAAAGTAGCTCGCACTTTTGAAAATCTGATGAGCTATACCAAATCTCCTCGTGCAGATACCCAGAGTCGCGAAAAGGCTTTGCGGTTCGTTCAGTCGATCAACTTCGTTGCCGTTGCAAAAAGCTGGGAGATATCGTCGAGCCAGTATCTGGAGAATCCAAGCAACTCGATTGTTCGCAAGCTGATGCACTCGCTCACTAGCATCGTCAGTAGTTGTGTGTCCGTGTCCAAGGATGCCGCATTGCCGTTTTCGGATATCCGATCCGCATTCATCTGGCGTTCAGCCCTGTCACACGATATGAAGACGTTTTTAAATCTTCTTCGGTCACAACAGCAGCAACAATCAAATGATGAGCAGAGCGACAGCATTACAATGATGGACGAAGTTGGTATGTGTGGCCACAAAAGTGTCTTTCATATGCGATTATTGTTCTAAGAGACTTATTACGTGTTGCACTAAATGTAGCTATCCGAATGCAGCGCGTGGCACGAATAGCACTCGGTGTCGCTGTCTCTAATGGAAAGAGCGGATCCTACCAGCAATCCAGTATAGATGAGCTGACCCAAGATATCACTACATTTTTGTTGCTCCTTGGACTTGACGCCATCACGCCAGAACACATCACTTTGATAGGTCGCCCAGCAACGGGTGCCATGGACGCATGGTTTGAGGAGTGGAACTTTGACCACGTTTCTGGCGTCTGGACGGCAAGTCTACTCAAAAGATATCAAGATCTCTTCATCGTCTTGTTGGAATGCTACATACAGCATTTGCAATTAGCGTCCAAATTGATGGTAATCGGTGTTTCTGGATACTTTGCCCACTTTCTGATCAATACATTGGTAGCCTTGAAGGATGATGTCGTCAACGAACAACTGCAGCAAGAACAAGAGGAGGCACAACCTAATAAGTCACTGTCAATAGCAGCAACAACATTGTCAATACTATCGACACAGCCAATTCCAGCACGCATGCAAAAACTCGTATCTTATTTTCTGCATTTTGACAACGCCATTCAGGTCTTTGCCACAGCTCCGATCTATTTAAACGACGTTATCTGGGTGCCGACGATCCGAAATGCATTTCATGGCCTAACACTCTTTGCTGCCGATGACAACGACGTCGACATGGACATGGTGGAAGTGGGACCACCGCTACTAGTACAATTACAGCAGGAAAACCAACGCAACAAGCAACAGGAGAACCAAGATACCATTTTATACAAGGCAAAACGAGCGTTTTCGGTGTTACGTGCCGTGACCAAGTTTTCCAATGCGTGTGCAAAATTGGAACAAGCGGGCGCACTGCACATGGTGAATATCAAGTATATCCCCAACAGCGAGGTACTGGAAACTTCAGTGTCCGTGCTAAATGTGTATGCATCGTTTACCCATTTTATTGCAGCACTGGCTAGCACGATGGCCTTGATACGTGCCAAATTACGCAGCGACGACGCATTCCCGATTGGGCCAGCAATCATGAAACTGTTGTGGCAAGCAACCATACGGATTCATGAATGCCAAGAAAAGAATCTGAGGAACGCGTGGACGCATGTCGTTTCTGGAAGTCTAATGGTCATTAATGCGTTCGAGTTTGACAACGAATCGCTCCAAAAATGGTTAGCGTGGCCTGTCCATTTTACTGATTGTGATGGTGACAATGACAGTGTGATTACTGAAGTCAATAGCAGAGGATGGATCCATAGTCTAAGAACAAATAACGGACGTTTATCGGTTCTGCCGACGATATTGCAAGCGCTATTACCTGGACGCCAAAGCAGCGACCGCTACGAGATTTTACAAGACCGTATCAGCAACAGTGATTACTTGGGCATGCTTTTGCATGCAGTAAATGCTTTCAATCTTTTATCGACGGTTCCAGAATGCGGCGTTCAGTTGGTACGAGATGCTGAAGCGATGGAATTTTTGTGCGAGCTACTCAAGGGGTTATTGGAGCAAACCAAGAACAGCAATTATTCACCGCGACTAAAGGCGAAAAGTGGCGAAGATATCAAGATGGAGGTGCAAACCGGAGCGGATAGCGGCAACGAGGTCAATAGAATAAGCAGCATACTGGACAGCAATAACGACAACAATAGCAGCAGTAGCAGTAGTGATTCGGAAAGATTGACAACGTCCTTTACGAGGAGTTTAAGCAATCGGTGTTATGAACTTTTGCATCGTGGCCTTGTACGAATACTGGCGTCCCAAGAAAACATGCGGTTCATTATCACTAGTGACGTCCTCACTGCCTTCTTCAAGCCGCTGCGCACATCCATAGCAGAAATGGACGACTACAAGCTTGAATTATCACAGACGCTATGTCAAGACTTTTATGAAGAGCGATTCGAAGACTTTGCACGGCTGTTTCAATTCACAGTCGGCGACGACAACGCGACGAGACTCCACGAACTGTGTGCGGTTGCTACTGCATATGCTTGCCCGTATCCATCCCATTGGGATACTGTGCTCGGGATCCGCGTAGTGGACGGCGAAGAAATTATTCATAACAAAAGTGTCTTTGGCGCACTCTGTCGAATGCTGATGTTTGAATTACTTGAACAAGACAGCGACAATGTGTACGAGGCTCCATATCGACGACCTGCTGCTGCTCAAGCAATCGAAGTCCTCACTCAAGTTCTGACACCAGCATGGGTGGCTGATCGCCAAGACATTGTTGTCCAGTTACGAGACCGGATAAGCTCTAGCGTCGAAAAAGAAGAAGATCTTGATGACAGTTGGAGAACCAATAACGACGAACACAGCGAGGACATGGTGGCGTTTACGACGGAGCATTCAAGCATACCAATTACGGCCAAACGTGGTCCACTTGTACGACAATCAACTTTTTTTGCGGCATTATTTTCTGGTGAATACGCAGAAAACCCGGACAAAACGGTCAAGTTACTGGATATTACGGATCATGCGCTCACGTTGTTTTTGGACGTGATCAACAATATACAATTGGGCGAAATGCGTCTCTCTTCATCCACATGCTGGCGCGATGTGATTGATCTATTGCTTGCAGCCGATCGGTTTGGCAGCACGTCGGTGCAGAGCGTATGCGAGGAATGGATATCCAGGAGCTTGGTCGACCAAGGTAACCAGGGCCGGTTGAATGGTGCGATCTTGTTGTTTCGACGGTGCAGGAATCCCGGTGCTGTCGATGGTGGTATGGCTTTGGACGTTTGGCCGTTTCAGAAAGTCCTCAAGCAAGCACTGATGATTGTTGTCAGTGAATTATCAGTCAGCTGCCAGGCAACAGAGTTCGATAATATGTTACGTGATAACGACGAAGATGAGTTGAGCGCGTTTTGTCAAGGAATGGCAGTGCTCATCTGCTCCACGTTGGACAAGATGTAGTTTCGATTTGGTAGAAGAAAGAGGGATGATGTTACCAATTTTACCTTTTCTATCGAGTAGATCTTGCTGTAATTCTTCCATTTATTTGTTTTTGCTGACTTTTTGATTAAATAAAATGTTTGGTAAATGCACAAGATTATAGTTTTAAATGCTTAAAATATTCACAAATGCTATCTCTTTATTAAATCATTTTTACTGCTAAATATATGTAATAATTTTTCCTTTTTGAAAAAATGGATGATGAAGAGGAGAAGAAGGAGGATGAGGAGGAGGATGGTTTCTTTTGTACACAGTTTTCTTTTTGCTAATCTATTTTGCAGCTTCCTGGTCACCGCCTAACAATCGCTTAGTACGCTCCAGGTCCATGCTGCGGGCATGGTTGTATATTTCCTTCGTCAATTTTCCTTCACCAAATGACAATGCAACTAAACGGGCCATGCTCATCCAGCGCATAAGGTCCTCTTGTGTTGGAAGCTTGGACTTGTTCTGCTGTGCAGCCTTACGTTCCTGAACAAACGATTCGGTAATATCCTACAATCGAAACAACATGTACAGGTTACTTCTTGGCTCCGCCATAGCAGTTTACAGTATGCTCACTTACGTCAGACATCTTTGGGTCAATGCTGTACTCGCTATATCTTGCAAATTGAATATAGAGTCTGAACAAATCAAGTACTTGTTCGTCCAGTTGAGGAAGTTCCTCGGTGGTAAAGCTTGATTGAAGTGGTACTACACAGTCATTCTATAAAAAGTAACAAAGGATTTAATAATCCTCCTTTCTGAAAATAGACATATTGTGCGTGTGGGGAAAACCAGGGAGGAGGGAAAGTGAGGTGTAAAGAACGTGCTGTGCTATATTCTTTGTGCTACATACCGGTAGAATAGATTTGCCTTCCGAAAGGCAAAGAATTGAATAATCCGTGTCAAAAACGTAATTGCTGTATGGGAAGACATAGGTCAGGGACTGTTGTGTGACCAGTTCCTGGATCACTTGGACATTGCGAACACCTAGCGACATTATTTTGCGGTGAGTTACGATAACATCAGTAGCCCACGTACACACCACCATCATCAATATCATCCAGCTTCACAAATAAAACTTACCAAGATCACCCAATGTTCCTTCTGTCATGGCAGTCTCATCCAAGATCACGGCAGTGCCATCTGTAAGCTGCAGAAGACCAGCTTCCAAGTTTTCGTTTTCGCTTTTTGGCATGAATCGTGTACCGTTTAATAACTCAATCGAAAGAGGCACACCGACGCAGTGATGGACCAAGTTTTCTATGAGCTCAAAGACCAGCTTGGATGCCACGTTCTTTGGACTGAGCTTTTTTGATGATTGCTGTTCCGTGTTTGGCTTGATAACAGGGAAATTCACCACGTTCAACGCAAACTGACCAATCTTGAGTCCACTCACTTTGCCCGTCCTATTGTATAAATTGACAGAAACGATGAGTTTCAATGTGTGCCGAGTAAGTAAGAAAAAGCATCCTATCCTTACACTCTTGAGAGAAGCAACAGCAGGACGTATTCCGAGACCAACTTATCGCCGCCAAATGCTGAAGATATGTAATCCAAGAGCTTTTCACGGATATCGTATGCTTGAGCTGATACATCGTTCAATTCAGCGCTTGAAAATGGAGCAGTGTTGGCGTGCTCGAGCATACGGTGTGTGATGGCGTGGATCACAGGCACATCAGCATAAGAAACTGTAGGGAGAGTGTACTCGTCCGTTGCTACAGCTGTTCCTTCAGTCGATTCGATCTTCTGTGGGTGTGAGAGCACGCCAATCACTTCCACCATCTGTCCGACTTTGACTGCATCTGCGGATCCATAGAATTTCACAGCAGCAGATGTATGTTTGGCGCCAGGCAATGGATATTTGTTTGGCAGTGGGGACTTGTGTTCCTCTCCTTCCTCGTTGATATTTAGCTGGTTCATCGCATCGCTGATATCTGCATAATGTTATTTAACCTGTTAGATGATGGGAGCATATCGAGCAGGGGAACATGAACAAACTTATGACACATAAGATGGAGGGGCTAATGAACTTACCTCGACCATACAATCGTTGCTTAGCCCAGCTAGTTTCACCTGGTGGCGAAACACAATATACGACGGATCGTTCACCCAGATAGTGGTTGGCCACGTCGTCGATATCAAATTCACCGGCCTAATAATAGGAAGAAACACGAGGAAGAAAAAGCTTAATAATTTCTTATCCATCATTATCATCTCATCAAGTATAAATCACCGGCGTTTCCATCACCGTCATCGTCATTTATATGGTACCTCCGTGTCCCTCAAGTCTTCTGTGTAACCCGTACAGACGACTCTTCCGTCATTGGGTTTCTTGTATGCAGCCACAAACAGCTCTTGTCCCATCTGAGGGTCTTGCACCAAACATCGGAAGCGAACCAAGGTATTTTTAGGTAATCGTTGCACAGGCACGTTATTTATGGATGGAATCTACGTTGGCAAAAGGTGAATCATATGATCAGGTCACAGCAACTATTATTATTGTTGCTATCATATCTATCTCTCCTACTCAATGTGTCCAAGGCGCATTTGTTGTCGTCTTTGTAGTAAATCCATCATTATGAAGAATTGATGCCTTTA